GTCTTCCACCCCACCTATCACCACCGTCGCTCCCGCCCCACCTATCACCAGCCCGAGCCCAAGCCCGAGCCTGACGACAAAAGACCTCAGGCTGGAGATACGCGCTGGCCGGACCAAGTCGGCGGGTTTGAGGAAGGAGCTGGGGGTTAGGAGTCGGAGTAAGAGTCGGAGTCGGGTGGGCGGGGGAGAGAGTGTGGGTCCGGAGCCGCTGGGCGCGTTGCCGCCGCTGCCGTTGCATAGGGGTGGGGGTGTTGGTGGGGAGAGGGATGATGGTAGGGCGGGGGTGGGGCTGAAGGAGAGGGAGAGGGAGCAGGGAAGGGGAAGAGGCAGAGGCAGAGAGGAGATGACGCTCGACGAGCTGGGTGGAGGGCACACAGGCACAAACCAAGGCGAAAACGAAAACGAAAACGAAGAGCACCCGCCTGCTCTGAACGTGAATGGGAATGGGAGTGCCGTTGCGACTCCAAGGCCTACATCTACGCGCACGCCGAAGCCCGGATTGTACCCGGCTCCGAGGACGAGTGTGGGTGGTGCGCCACTTCCACCTCCAGCGTCGTCAGTTTCGGCGTCCGCACTGGTATCTGTATCGGCAGCTGCGCCTGCACCCGAGCCCTTATCGCCCTCGTCCAAGTCGAACGTCGCAGACCCGGACCTAGGCTTGACACCGCGGGCGTCCGCTTCCAAGACGCGTTCCTCCTCAACCACCACCACCAAAACACCCCTCAAGTCCAAGGCGAAATCAGGCCTAAACCTATATAGCAAGAGCAAGAACGCGAAAGAGAGGAGGGATGGGGATGGGAAGGATGAGGACGAGGACAGAGCGGCGAGCCCTGATATTGCAGCTATCCTCTCCGCCACCCCGCGCCCGTCGTTGTCCAAGTCGGCGAGCACGGCCCCTGGTGGTGGTCGTGGTGGTGAGAGATCGCGGCCTGGGTCGACGTCGACGTCGAGGGCGGGCTCGAGGACGAGGGTGCGGGTGCGCTCGATGGCGAACCTCCGGCCTAGCTCCCACTCTACTACCACCAATAGCAATAACGGGGACCGGCGGTACGCTAGCGAGGGTGCAGGGTTTGCAGGGCGGGTGGACGAGTTTGGGTTCCTGGCGCACGATCCTGAGCCTGATGCACGCTATCATAACGGATATGGGGATAGGGAGGAGGAACAGGCGTATGACGAGGCGTTCGAGCGGGCGTTGGAGGGTGTGGGGAGTGAGGATGGGGATGGGGATGAGGATGGGTTCGGCGCGGGGGCAGGAGAGAGAGGGAGGAGGGGCAAGAGAGGTGGTGGAGGGGGAGGAGGAGGAGGAGCAGGGAGAGGAAGAGGGAGAAGGGAAGAACAGGATGGGGGCGACTCGGACTCGAGTTTGGACCTACATACGCCGTTGCCGTGAGTGTTTGTTTCCTTTCGTTGCTTTGTTTTTTTGGGTGATTCGGGGTGGTGGTGGTGGCGTTGAAGGGCGTGTCTGTCGTCGTCATGGCATGGACGCGTCTGTCTCCTTCGGCGTTTGAGCGTCGTACGAGAGGTGCTGTTGGAGGTAGTCTGTGGCTTTTCGCGCACCTCGTGCTCGTCGTACCATGCTGCCGACACCCGCCGTCATCATTATCGACCTCTGCTTAACTAACTTGCTTTCCTTCCAGCCACTTGATGGTCAAGCACGGCCTGCTCTCGCCACACTCCAAGCTCCTCCCTGGCGCCTCTCGTGCCACCACCCCGATGGACGGCCGACCTGGCAGCATCATGAGTGTTGTTTCGCAGAGTACGTCTTCTCCTCTCTGGTTCGCTGCGGTGGTTTCTCTTCAACTAACACGCGTCTTCGTGTAGACTCGACGATGACCAAGTCGGGCATCATCAAGGACGAGCGCGATACGCCGATGCGCCGCGTGCGCCATCGGGACGGAAAGCTCCTGCGTGGTGGGATTGGGCTGACGACGGGTCTGGGATGGAGCGATAGGTGCGTTGTCCTATATATCTTCCCCTATGTTTTTTTTTCGTGTTCTGACCGCTTCTGCAGCGAGGACGAAGACGCTCCGTCCCCCCTTACGCGCCGGATATCCACGCTCAACCTCACGCGCCGCTCCTCCGCCTCGTCCATCATGACCTCCGCCTCCTCGATGCCCCGCAAACAGCCCCAGCACCCGCTCTCGCGCTCCTTCTCTTCTGGCACGCTCGCGTCCGCCTCTTCGTCCGCTCAGAATATAGGATTCCAGCGCCGGTCCTTCCCGGAGGAGTACCCAGACGCGTACGCTGACGACGCGTATGATGACGAGGGAGAGGGAGAGGAGGACCGCACGCTCAAGGCCTCGGGCGAGTGGGCCCAGCGCCAGCGACGACCCTCGGCTTCGGCCCCGGGTGGCAAGACCCTGCGCGCACGCGCGAACGTGCCCCCGACGTCGTTCAGAACGAGCGGGGCGAGCGTTGGTGCGAGGAGTAGTGTGGGCGCGAGGACGAGCACGAGCTCGTTTGGCTCGGTGGGCTCGAGGTTGTCGGAGGTGGGCAGTGGGGATGTGGTAGCAGCAGCGGAGCCGAGGACGCCGTCGAGGATGAGGAGGCCGAGCGGACGTGAGTCGACTGGCTCGTCTGCGGAACTGCATACGAGCTCCCAGGGTGGTCTCAAGCCCGTGCTCAAGCGCACGTCGGGCGAAGCGTCCACTGCCAGCGCGTCGACGCTCAGCATCCCGATGTCTGGCACCCCACGAGACCAACACCAGCACCACCCCGTCGACACGCCCACGCCCTCGCAGCTGCAGAAGAGGCTCGCGTACGACAAGGACAAGTCCCTGCCCCCGCTCCCGCCGAGCCTGCGCAAGTCGCTCTCGAATCCGCGGAGCGACTACTCTTACTCGCCGTCCAGTTCGAGTGCAGGAGGGGGTGCAGGAGGAGGTACGGGGGTTGCTGGTACAGGAAAATCAGCCCTGCCCCGTGCACGCGCCGTGTCGACCATGTCTTCGTCGGCGCGGTCGTCATCGACGGCGGCCTCGACACCCTCTCCATCACCACCCGTCGGCCCGAGCATGAAAATACCCACCTCGCCCCCCGTCCGCCCGCTCCAGCTCCCGCGGCACGCCTCTCGCACTAGCAGCGGCAGCAGCGCTGGTGGTGGGGCTGACCGTCCCGCCGTCCCTGTTCCCGTTCCTGTTCCCTCCGTCGCCTCCGCCTCGACATCGCTGCGCACCCCCGCGCTGAGATCACCTCCAACCTCGCCGCTGCCGTCGCCGAATCCACTGTCGACGTCTACATCGTCGGGGCTGGTACGCCCCAAGCCGCGCACGGGCACGGGCATGGCGTACCGCACGAGCTCGGGAGGGTCGAGGATGAAGGCCCCGCTTGCGCTAGCGTCGACTGTTGGCGCTGGGACGGGGGCGGGGACGAGCGTGTCGACGCCAGCTGCTGGTGGTGTTGGGCGCGCGGGCGGTGCACGGCCGATCGCTCTTTGATTATTGGATGGTTTTCATTTTCGTTTTTCGGGCAGGTCATTTCTCTCTCTCCATTTCACGACTACATACTGCTTCCAACATCCCTTTCTTTTCTTTTTCTTTTTCTTTTTCCTCATTCTCATGCTACACTGCTATCCTTCCTGCATTAACACCATACCATACCATACAAATCTGTTGTTCATCTCTACTACCCCACCCCCACTAGCTATCTACACTGTCCCTCATTTCATGGCAATACCAATTTCTTCGGTGATCTCATTGGTTCATTTATTCTACTCTAGTGTACACCTTCCCTTTCCCTCTTTTCTCCTTCCCTTGTCAGATTCAGGCTCTATATTACCCTTTGCACATCCCTTCCTTCTATGATTATCACACATTTAGAGGAACAACATCTTTAGTCTTCATCAGGTTTGTGTGAGAGTAGTGCTATATTGTCAAAATACACACTCCTTTTGTCTCTCAGACTTGAACAAATTCTTGGTTTGCTGCCTGTTGGGCAATCACCCTTCAGCACCAGCACTAGTGTCTAATGCAAACAAATGATGGGTCAAATCCCAAGTTTCAAATGGACGGCTCATTCTGACCTTCTCCATAGTGCTCATTTTGCAGACTAGAACCCAGTTCAAGCCACCTCCACCTCCACTAGTGAGTAGCACAAGGCTGGCATGCAAACAAGACATGTGGGTCACTTGCTGTACCTTCCATCTCAGAATTTCATGAGATGGAAGCAGCACTTTAAAATGAGTATAATATTATTTGTTGTACATGTCGCACTTCCTGAATATTATCCCGGCATTCCGGTTGCCCCTTTGATGTCAATAACAAGGTGGAAGTGGAGCCTGTTGGGGTCTTCTTTTCTTCAGTCAATGATCAAGAAAAGGAAATCAAACCAAATTCTCATACAGGGATATCAATCTTCTGCTAGGAAATTGCAGGGCAGGGGGAAGTCACTATCAAATAGAAATGGATTGTCAGAAGTCTCTCTCATGGTCAAGGAATAGTCACTCACTGCACACATAGAAGTCCATGCACCAGAGCACCATTGACCACCTCTCTCGCCTCATTTTCGCAACAAGGGATTTGCTCATCCTCCAGCGGACCTCCTGCACATTAAGGTCTACAAACTCTTGCATCATGAATATATGGAACATCCCAGGCAGTGGGATGGTGGTGCCATCAACCACAGCGTGCAAGCCTCCAAGGAAGCCATTGATCAAGCGTGGGTGCAGCTCGCTCGCCATCTCATTAAACAGCAATGCAACAACATTGTCCTGCAGCAGCAGCCGAAAGCTGCTCCCAAATACCATGTTGGGCACCATGTTCACTTTGAAGTACCCAATGTTGTCAATGCTGCTTGCATGTGTCTAAGGTCTGGGTCAGGGCCAGGGCTGACCCCAGGCTGGCCCTCAAAAAGCACTTATATTTTAATTTGTTTTTGCAATTAAATAAGAATATTTATTTTATACATACTATACAGAAGGTATTCTACGAGGCGACGGCGAGACAAGGGCGGGGTGAAATGAGGGCAATGGCAGTGACAAGGCGACAGCAAGACAAGGGCGGGTGCTAGCAGCAAGGTGACGGTGACACGAGGGCGAGCGATGGCGAGTGAGGCTGGCGATGGTGCGAGACAAGGGCGACATTCTGAGGTGAGGGTGGGTGCGAAACGAGGGCAACGGCGAGTGAGGCTGGCAATGGTATGAAACGAGGGCGAGTGCGAAACGAGGGTGAGTGCGAAACGAGGGCAACAGTGCGAGGGCAAAACGAGGGCGAGTGAGGGTGGGGGCGAGGGTGAGTGACAGCGAGTGAGGGTGAGGGCAGGGGCGACGGTAACAGGTGATGGCGACGGTGCGAGCAGCGAGGCAAAGGCGAGGGGATGGCAATGCCAGCAAGGCGAGGGGGAGGCGATGGTGGAGGCAAGACGAGGGCAAGTGAGGGTGAGTGAGGGTGGCAAGCAGCGAGGTGATGGCGACAGTGTGAGTGAGGGCAAGGGCAAGGCGATGGCCAGGGCAAGACAATGGTGAGTGATGGCAACAGTGCAAGGTGATGGCGATGGTGCGAGATGAAGGGCGAGGGAGGGCGGGGGCAACGGCAACGGCAATGGTGCGAGCAGAGAGGCAAAGGTGAAAGGTGTGAGATGACGGCGGGTCGACGATGTAGGAGACGGAAGATTGGAGGTGGGAGGGAGATGACGGAGGTGGGAGTTGGAGTGATGACACGGCCTTCCGCAATGGGGCTGAACTGGGTTGGCCCTGGTTCGACCTGAGGTCTGAGGGCCAACCAACCATTGGCCCTGGCCCTCCCTAAAGGGCTGGGTCTGCCAGGCTGCTGGCCCTTGGCCCTGGCCCTCGGGTCTGGGCCAGGGCTGACCTGGTGCTGGAGGGCCATGGACCAGACCATAGACAGTCTAGTGCCCCTCTGTGAGGTTAGCTCAGCATGCCACAGGCTGAGGCAGGCACTCAGCACACCCTGCAGGAAGTCCAACAGCCATTGCAGCTCGACCAGGAGACATATGAAGCAGACGAGGTTGTTGGGCTGCTTGATTGTGTTTGGGTGTAGTTGTGCCTTCCCTGGGACGACGTGGTAAACAAGCAGGTTGGTTAGCCACAAGACAAGGTGCTTGCGAGAGGCAAGTGAGGTGAATGGTCATGGAAGGGGGTTTGGAGCCAATGTCACACATGATCCAAAAGGTCAGATGAGGATCTCTGGAGAAAGTAGGCACTTTTGTGCTCAGAAATCGGAGCCGCAACACTGAGCACTTACAGCATCATTTTATGAATAGGCATCTTCAACAGCCTGACTTTGGCTTCATGAGACAAATCTACATGATGCTCCAGTCCTGCTCAAACACTGCACCACATCTTCCATGCTTGCACATTCTCAGCACCAGTGTCCTTCATTGACAGATCTCCAAGCTGCTTGATTGCTTCTGCATTCTGTTGAATAACGGAAGTGTTGCAGCCTGGCTAGAGCTTGTCTGGTGTCTTGCAAGACTGATAATATTGGACGTACCTCCTTGTAGTGTTCAGCCAACCTGGATGCAGCCCTTTAGGGCCTCGTGGTGGAAGAGAAATTTTTGGGACGTACTCTAGTAATTTTCCATCTTTAAAAAGTTTGTTTCCTCAATCCTTCGCTTTTTGGGCTCATTCAGATGCCATGATCTAGTTGGAAAGCAACAAATGGTTAGATTTTTTTGAATCAGCAACCTGAGGCTGCAAGACAAGATCCGTAACGCGTCCAGGACACGAAATATGCATTTTCTTGCTATGTGTTGTGAAAATCAAGAACGTTTGGATTATTAAAAAGAAAAAAAGAAAATGAACAGAATTTCTCGCCTTTATGGCTGAGAAAAAAATGGCTATATTACCGCAGCCAAAATGCGCCACCCCATGAAGTTGAATTCCAAGAAACAAATTATTGTGTCTTCTGGAGTAGCTGTCGACCAATCTGAAAAGATGATCGTGCAAGAAGAAGATACAATAGGCGGTTGTGGGATGGGGCAAGGTTCGGACTTGGAGCTGAGCTTTGACTGAATCAGGACATTCCTGCACTTCCTTCTTTTCCTTACACCACCATGATCCGTGTCCAACCCTCCTCCATACCCTCACCCTTCGTTTGGTACTTCATATGAATCTCGACGGCAACCACCTGCCAGGCGTATGCTCATGCTGGGAACCCACCTAAATGCCCCAGAAACACTAGCACCAGCATGGAACTTACAACCTATCGCTGCCCAATTATGCTCAATCTCCTGGTTTTGAGATGATGTTCACATCGCAATATCAACCTGCCAACTCTCCTTGCGCTCGCAGTGAGCAGCAAGTATCCTGGTCACGACCTCATAGCAAGGACAACCACATCTGCTCACGAGTGGTGTTGGTATGGCTGGAGGTGGGGTAGGCAAAATATGAGTAGAGGCCGCTTCTTGTGAGTGCATCCTTATTTCCGTGTCGTTACCATATTATCTACGGTGCTGCTTTTGAGTTTTATCACCGCCATCGCTTGTGTCCTCATCGATCTACACAATTGTGTTATCACCTTTCTTTCTTGTCCCTTTTATGACCTATTGTCGACAGTTGCTGATGATATTTCCATTCTTAGTTGCCTCCTAATCACCATGCATGGCTATCAAGATGTGCTTTTGAAGATCTTGCATTCTACTTCGCGTATTGGCGCATTCCTGGAAGAATGATGTGGATGCCTCATGGGAGCTGTGTTATAGGGTACGTGCTCGCTCTCCTTTGTCGCAGAGCCTTTAGTTGACCAAGAGTTGTTGAACAGACATCAACATGCTGGTGGACATCATCCAGACAAATCTAACATGCCTACAACGCAGCAGCTCCAAGGTAGTTCAGTTCGATGGAGGTCTTAGGTGAAGCGATAGGTGTGCTTGTCTACTTCTGCTGCCTGTCTGATTCCAGACACTAAGAAATGCTCTCAGTGGCCCACTGCAGCCTCTGCCTCCCAGGTTCCAAGGTCTTGTCTCAGTGCTGCCCTCGCCCCAAAAGCCCATGGCTTGGCTTCATGGTCATGAACAGGAAGACGCGGACCAGGCACTTGAAAATTTGAGCAAGGATTTGGGCGAGGCTGCGGCTCGTACCCAGATGGAAGAGATCAAAGAATAGTGGAGGACTAGCATGAGCATGAGACCTTCAGTGAGGTCGGGGTTGAGTTGGGGTTGGGGTCAGCGAGGTCAAGGACATTGATATGGACATGCGTTTATTCTCAGGTCTTTCTGGGATTCAATTTGCAACATCATGGATTTTGAGGGGTATAGACATGTACTGCCCTCCACAAATGCATCATCCATCTGACCTCCTTTTTTCGTCGCCTTCCATATCTATCCACCTCCTCATCTCAGAGATGCGCCTTGAGGAATTCTGCTGACAAATATCTCATCAGCTCCCAAGTCGCAAATCAAGGAGCAGGAAAAGAAAAGGTTGAACAGTACTCACATAAGGACAGCATGGACCATTTGAATGCCCTTTCGAGAATCATGCAGTTAACATGCTGGATACCGAACCTATAGAGCATTGAGATGTGAATTCAATTTATGGTGCACGATGATGCTTTGGAGGCGCTGACCTTGCACTGAATCCCAAATTCCATTCTGCGTTGTCGAACATCACTGTTGGGAATGGGTCAGGCTACTTTCAGGAAGTATAAATTCAATTTCCTTTCATTTATCAATGTCCTCATAATCTGATCTTCTATGATTATTGCACATGTAGAGTAACAACTTCTATTCTACTCACACAGAAATGCCCAAAATTTTCTTCTTTGTTCCAGAAGACTATCAGCAGCAATGATACCAAAATTATCGTTATAAAACCAAATCATACAGCAAATCTCACTATGGCTGTAGCCTTCAATAAGGCCAGAAAAGGGGAGAGGAGTAGTGCCAATAGCAGCTTCAGGATTATTTGCCATTGCATTGACGTAGGCTTCAACAACCAGGCCCATCCCTTCAGCAGCAGCAGTGGCAAGTTGGAAACCAGTGCCTGGAACCTGTCAAAAGTTAAACAGTTGAAGCTGATATCAATGACAATACACACAATCTTCTGCAGAGGGCGCAGATCCTCTGGCCCCAAGATACGACTATTCTTGATAATAATCCAGCTGTTTGCTGACTCTGCACGCACTAGGCGAACCTCTTGAGTGAGAGCAATCATGGAGGCATTGAGAGCATTCAGTGTAGCCTGCATATCCTGAGGAACAAAGTGTGCATGAGCATCTGGATCCAACCAATTTAAATGTTTTATCATCACAGCAGAGGGAGGTGGCTCACGCATGGATTCAATAATGTTCACTCTTGCCTCTGCATCCTCAACAAGTTCATTTGTGACAACAGCATGGTCCCCTGTTTCTGTATGGTGGATTAGTGCTCATCAGCGTAGATGAACAGTGTATCACATACACTGGAGTGCTTTGAGGCCTGATGCAACTGCTCTAGCATGTCAGAGATGCATTTCATCTATTGCTGTCTGCGCAACGACCTTGTGGGTGATATCATATCCAGATACCATCTCAGGGAGAAGGGGGTGCTTGCTGCACAGACTTGCAATGGTGTATGGGTATGAATCCATACAATGAGGGTTGAGTAATCGATAGAGTTGGGGATTGACGTCTAAGAGCCTGAGGAAACAAGTTTTGTTCGTGTTTGAAGAGTTGCGTGTTGTGGCACATTGTTTGTTGGGCACATGATCGCTTCATCCTCCGACTAAACATCAGGCATGCTATAGCGCTTTCCTTCAGCCACATTCTCATATGAGAAGGTATTCAAATGGATGTAAATGCTATGTAGAATAGCTTTGTGCAAAAAAAAAATCAAAAAGTTTGACCCAACTTTGCACGATTGGACCACCCAAAAATTTGCCTGCATTTATTCTCAGGGCCTGCTGGAAATTTCGCAACATGGTGGATTTTGAGGTGTATAGACTTGTGCTGTCCTGACATAAATGCATCATCCATTTGAAAAAAAATTCATTGTCTTCCACATCTATCCACCTCCACCTCCTCATATCAAAGATGCACCTTGAAGAATTCCGCTGACAAACATCCCATCAGCTCCAGAGTCACAAGCTACAGGACAGGAAGAGAAAAGGCTGAGCAGTACTCACATAGCGACAGCGTGGATCGTTTGAACGTCCTTTCGAGCATCGTGTAGTTAACGTGCTGGATACCGAACCTATAGAGCATCAAGAAGTGAGATTCATGGCCTACAATGACACATTGGAAGCACCAACCTTGCAGTGAGTCCCAAATTCCATTCTGCGTTATTGAGCATTGCTGTTGGGAATGGCTCAAGTTGCTTTCAGGAAGAGAAGTAGGAAAACATAGACATACCCCACGCAATGAGACCTTTTATCAGCAATTTGTCTTCATGAATGGCTTTCAAGACCTCTCCAACATATGTCATGTGATAATCTATGAGGTGATAATGAGGCTGAGGATTGCTTAGGAAGAAGGCATTCGACGTACTAGTTTGCGTTACATTCTCTGTGATCTGGAAGACCTCCGTCCTCAGCTGCTCGAACAGCTCTATGAACCCAAACTCTGAAATATACTGCCACACCGTCCCAAAAATCAGCATCACTCCTCAGCATTCGGCACCAGCGAAAGCACCACCCACCATCTTATTCGTAGGCCACCTCTTCTGCTCCCTGAAGAATGGCCTCATCAGCGTTGGCATCGACTGGATCGACCCCAGGGCACCATTCACGAGCCAATCCGCCACAGCGCTGACGCTCCAGCCCATCGTGGAGTTGAACTGCACCGCGACGTTACAGACTGGCCAGTTGGGGTGCGATGAGTTGGAGACGCAGGCGGCAAGACCGTCAGGTGGCGCACGTACGGGTTGTACGTGGTAGGCGTCAATGGTGAAGAAATCGGCAGAGCCTGAGGTGTTTGGTAGATGGTTGGTATTGTAAGGTTGGGCAGAAAAAAGACGAGAGAGGGAAAGGCGCACTGAGGATATCTTTCTTCTCTTCTTCTGTAAGATGAGGGAGATATTCAGGTGACAATGTGTCCATTAGTGTCTTTGGCCAGTCGCCAGTGATGAAGACAGGGTCTGCGAAGATGCTGATCTGGAAGGCAGTATGCCGTTCGGAGGCCTCAGCGTCTTTGGTGCTGTTTGCGCACCATGGAGGGCCACTAGTTGAGGAGGTTGAGTTGAGGCTATGGTGAGAAGAGTATGAGAAGGACCTACATAAAGTTCTCGCTCTTGAAGGATATCTCAGCCATGTAAGCTAGATAACTGTATCAGATACTGTATTTAAACAAGGTATGCTCATAAGTCAGGACTGTCAGTTTACAGTAGGCCTCCCTCAGGAGGCCTTGCCGTGTGTGCCAGGGTTCAAGGCTGCAGGCGGGGCATGTCAATACATAACAACACAGGAAACAATGCCTGAGCATTGTTCTTCATCGTTTTTGGTGCTCCCGCCCCCGTTTTCGACAGGGAAAAGGTGCCAACGATGAGGAAATATATCTCCTCATTGTTGTGCACCATTTCCCCCTGACGGCATAGGTGGATTGGCCCAGGTGCGTTTGGATGACGTGGCCTTTTTTCGGGTCCAGTAGCTATTTTTAGATTATGCTGTAATTATTATGACACACCTGTTATAATGCTCTCGCTGTCGTCTGCCACGACGTCCAGCAAGCTCGGGGTACACAAAAAAAGCAGAAAAATTGTATTAAATTGAAATAAAATAAATGCATGGCGCAGGTGGCTCTAACCAGCCACCAACTATGAAATAAGAAGAAAAGGAGTAGAAACAACTCCTGCTCCATGCCCTTTTGCAGCAAAAATTGCAAAAAAAACAATTATATTACATTGTGATAAAATAGATACATGCTGCAGGTGGTTCTAGTAGCCACCTGCCATAAGAAATCAAGGGGACAGGTGTCCCCCTCCCACCCCCTCCTCTGCTCGGCAGGGTACCCTCTGCCCCTCCGGTGCTCGTTGGGGCCCACTCTACCCCTCTGCTCCCTGCCTGCTCTCCATCCGCTGCTCCTGGGGACCCATCCCACACCCTCTGCCTGATTCGCCCCATCCGTCGCTCGTTGGGTTCCTCTGCCGCTCGTTGGGCCTGTCCCTGGCTTGTTGAGCCCATTTGGGTGCTTGCTGGGCCTGTCCGTCACTCGTTGGGCCCATTCGGTCCTTGTGCTTGCCCTTCCTTGCACTTGCCCTTGTGCTTGTGTTGTTGGTGGGTGGGTGCTGAGAAAAAGGAAGGGAGGGGTGGTGGGCAGGAGGCAAAAGGCAGGAGGTGAAAGGTGATGGGCAAAGGGTGACAGGCGACAGGCGACAGGCAAAGGGCGGGGGAGGAAGGCTGGGACAAGGAGGGCAAATGGTGGATGGGGGCAAGCAACGGACAGGGGCAAACGATGGGGCAAGGGCAAACAGCGGGTTTGCTGCCCCTGTCGTGCGCGCCCTGTCGTTGTCGTTGTGCTCACCCTGTCGCTGTCGTACTCGCCCTGTCACCTGTATCAGTTAGAAAAATATAGAAATACAAGGCAGTTTCCTAACTATGAATCTAAGCCCTGGAGGGCAATATGCTACCTTCCACTTTGGGAAGGCTCTCCTAATAAGAGGGAGGGGTTGCCAGGTGCCTGGCATCTGCAAGGGTGATGAGGAGGGGGTAAATAAATTAGTAAGCATCCATTTCTGGGGTGGGCGGTTGGGGGTGGAATGGGGGCAGGATAGGCCAAGCAGGACCCTGGGGCACTGCAGAGAACTGGTCATGTGACCTGTTTGCTCTGCAGCCTCAACCAGGGCCATTTTTTGTGAAAAAAGTGCCCAGGGCCAATGTGATAGTATGTTACTGTATGTCATAAAAAAATCAGGAGAATCTGGGATGTGGAATGTTGCGAAACAGCGCGTATGAGGTGTCACCTTAACTTGGTGTGCATTTATTTTTAGCACAAGCTGCTAAATTGGGATCTGGCATCAAAATAGCCATTGCTGGCGCATTTCGGGCTCGTTTGGCTTCCCCCTGGGTGAAAATTGATGGGAAAGATGACGCGATAATTTTGAGGGAGTTCATAGCTACCTGTAGACACCCAGAACGTGTGAATACGACCATTTTTGGCGATGTTATGGCCTAAACTGTGCTTCTATGCACAAAAATGCGAAAATGCGCACCTAATGCTCTGCCTCTCATGCATCCCTGCCTCATAAAAACTAGCCGATGATTTAGTATGCTACTAGAGCTTCAGAACGAGCCAATAAGAATGGCCTTGCATGCATTATTGGTTATGCAATGGGCCTTTCGATGTTTATGTGCTAACAACCCGAAAAATCGCACTCAAATCTCTATGACACACATGTATCTATCCTTCCAAAACATTATGCGTTCAGATAGATGTTGATAAAGGCTACAAAATGCGCTATTCAGCGTCTCCACGCATTCATTTGTTCCAAAGATATACCTACAACACTCCTCATCCCTCAATATCACAAAAAGCGAACTTCTGTATCTCCCCCAATTCTTATCCAAGACCTGTAGAACTTTTCAGTCAGTCTCACCCAGTGCCCTACTCACTATTTACAATCACATAGCATGGTATAGACTCCCTTTTAATATAATATAAGCACCCCTTCCTCCTCCCCCTGAAAAGCCAGAAATGCGCCCTCCATTTCCCATTCCCCAGGCTACTTATGTGATATACATGTTAATGGTAGCCATATAGGTACCTCCATGCAAGAATACAGGAGTTAATAATGCCAAATGCACTTGCAGTGGCCAATTTCGGGTTTTCTACCTATAATCACCTTGTTTGCCCCATGGGATGCCCAATTCTTCACCAATCTTCAAGAAAAAACATGTCCCGGAATCGGAACAATCTCCTCTTCAAATTCCGACACCTCTGAGACAACCAATGTGACACCTTAGATAACATAAAAATCGAACTGATTGCCACTTTTAAGGAGATCAAGGATATATATAATTAATCAGACAATGCAGAGACATTCTACTGACTACTTCTAAGTGTCCTTAAAAAGTTCTATTGTGATTGGGTCATTGTGGAAGGCAGAAGGTCTGAAATGAACCTCAAACAGACTGGTGAGGAGTGGTGATCACCATATTGCCTAGTTTGTCAAATGTGTTCACCCCGGAAACTGGAGGTAGTATCATTGCTCACAGGTCTGAGAGGGGTTTACAAACACCTGATAGTTACTATAATCTATAATATATATTTTAAACACATTTTTACGAAATTTTAGAGCAAGGACTATACCTCCAATCCGAGGTAGAATCTTGGAGAGGGCAATTGAGAAGGCAGAAGGACAGTTGCATGAATAAAATATTCAGTTCTTATTCAACTTGCATCGGACTTTTTCTATATCACTCTAACAGTAGTATAGTAAGTATTCTGAGCTATCCGATGAGATTTGGGGCACTAGAGGATATGCTAGAAGGATGCCATGTCCACCATCAACATTGTGGGAATCCCCCGGGCAAGAAGGAGGAAGTGTCTTTGGTCATGGAATTGGGGTGTTTCTACACAGTCTTGAGGGCAGAAAAGAAGGGAGGGTGCTAGGATAGTGTTCAGATTATGTTGGAGTGACAGGAATAACGCCAGCTTTGCTTGAAGGGATATAAGAGTGCACATTTTCGATTTTTCTGGTATCTTGTGAGGTGTTGTAGGTATATCTTTGGAACAAATGAATGCGTGGAGACGCTGAATAGCGCATTTTGTAGCCTTTATCAACATCTATCTGAACGCATAATGTTTTGGAAGGATAGATACATGTGTGTCATAGAGATTTGAGTGCGATTTTTCGGGTTGTTAGCACATAAACATCGAAAGGCCCATTGCATAACCAATAATGCATGCAAGGCCATTCTTATTGGCTCGTTCTGAAGCTCTAGTAGCATACTAAATCATCGGCTAGTTTTTATGAGGCAGGGATGCATGAGAGGCAGAGCATTAGGTGCGCATTTTCGCATTTTTGTGCATAGAAGCACAGTTTAGGCCATAACATCGCCAAAAATGGTCGTATTCACACGTTCTGGGTGTCTACAGGTAGCTATGAACTCCCTCAAAATTATCGCGTCATCTTTCCCATCAATTTTCACCCAGGGGGAAGCCAAACGAGCCCGAAATGCGCCAGCAATGGCTATTTTGATGCCAGATCCCAATTTAGCAGCTTGTGCTAAAAATAAATGCACACCAAGTTAAGGTGACACCTCATACGCGCTGTTTCGCAACATTCCACATCCCAGATTCTCCTGATTTTTTTATGACATACAGTAACATACTATCACATTGGCCCTGGGCACTTTTTTCACAAAAAACGGCCCTGGTTGAGGCTGCAGAGCAAACAGGTCACATGACCAGTTCTCTGCAGTGCCCCAGGGTCCTGCTTGGCCTATCCCGCCCCCATTCCACCCCCTCCTGCACCTCCCACCACCCGCCCACCCCAGAAATGGATGCTTACTAATTTATTTACCCCCTCCTCATCACCCTTGCAGATGCCAGGCACCTGTCAACCCCTCCCTCTTATTAGGAGAGCCTTCCCAAAGTGGAAGGTAGCATATTGCCCTCCAGGGCTTAGATTCATAGTTAGGAAACTGCCTTGTATTTCTATATTTTTCTCACTGATACAGGTGTTAAAAGTCAGCTTCACCTCTATTTCTCACTCAGGCTCAAATGAGAAAGGCGGATGGACGGTACATTTACTATGCACTGTACATGTGGTTCAGTTACATATTTACAGCTACATTGTGATACATTGCAATGACTAAATACTCCGTTATAAATTAATCAAGCTCATTGTACTCGGGGTAGCTGAATTCTCGTGCATACATCTGTAGATGAACGTCAACACCTGCGACGAAAGAAACTAGACCGAGAAGATACTCACCTCGCCCTCGTCCTCACGGATGAAGTGGCTAGCGACCTTTCCAGCTCCTCTCAGTATCTTACCAAAGGAGAACTTGGGGTCGCGGGCGTCGAGGTCCTCGCCATCGAGTTCTCGGACGTAGTAGAGGTTTCCGTCTGTGTCCTCGCGAATGAAGTGGCTGGCGACCTTCCTGGCACCTCTGATAATCTTTCGGAAGGAAAACTTTAGATCGTGCACTGCCAGCTCTTCAAGCTCATCCTTGCAAATAAAGTGGCTAGCGACCTTTCCAGCTCCTCTCAATATCTTGCCAAAGGAGGACTTGGGGTCATGAGCATCGAGGTCCTCGCCGTCAAGTTCGCAAACGTAGTACAGGTTTCCATCTGTGTCCTCGTGGATGAAGTGGCTGGCGACCTTCCCAGCACCTCTGAGGATCTTGCCAAAGGAGAACTTGGGGTTGCAGGCATCAAGGTCCATGACGTTGTCATAGTCGCGGGCCTCGAGTGAGGGCTCTTCCTCACAGATGAAGGTCTTGACAACCTTGCCTGCACCTTTGAGGAGCTTGCCGAAGCTGAATTTGGGGTCGCGGGCGTCGAGGCTACAGCAGAGGAGTCATCAGATAAAGTATTCCAAAATGAAGTGAAAAGACGTACGCGGCTTCCTGCTCGAACGGCGTTGGAGCAGAGAACGCAGGGGCCACAGCGGTGGCAGCAAGAATGGCGGTGGTAAGTTGAACCATTGTTGTTATAGTCAGTTAGATAGGTGTGGTGAGAAGGGAAAAATCAGTTTTGTCGAGGGGTGGAGGGCGTACAACGCTTTCTTTGTTCCAAAGTTCTTGGATGAAGGTGAGGATGAGACCAGCTGAGGAACTTCCTATTATTTTGAGGTTTTTATACCCCTCAGGCGGCCTGGTGAAAGAGACTTGGCCGGAGCTGACTGCAGCTTCTATTCTTAGGCTGACATCCCAAGCCGTTCCAGCGAGACATGAGCACACCTCTGGCAAGTTTTGTTGTTACTGACAGTTCGTGGAGAAGCTGATATCCAAAGTTGACCCACCAGCTATTGTGGGCATCTCCTAGGACATTTGTCGAGACCATCAAACGACATGCTTAACTGAGGTTCTTGCTCTGTGCTTTCACTGCTCATGGCAGTGGCCCAACGACCAAACTGGGTGACTTTTCAGATCACTGATATTGATTCTTGCCTCAAGATTGTGAAGATTAACGAACGAGTCGTGAAGAGATGGAGAAGTATCTTACTATGCCGCCCGTGAAATCTCCTATTTTTCATCTTCTTATCCAATCATGGGCGTTCGCTCGGCGACGGAACGAAAGTTGCTGACTTCAGTTCCCAGGAGCCGACGACGTGCGGAGAAGAAGTTGTTCTTGGATCGATGATGGTCATTCTTGCTTGATTGACAGTTGGAATACCTGGCGTATGCTTGGGGCTACATCTCAGGCTAAGAACATGGAAAGACAACAGCTTTGATGGCATTGTGCACAGGCCGTCGCTTGTCCCATAATTGATGGAGGCCCCGTAATCTTGTTCCCGAACTTGTGGCAGTGGATGCGAGAGGAATGTCTGGTTGCTATTTAGTTTTCAGTGAATTGCAGTGATGTCGAATGCTCATAGGTATGAACAGAGCCAGAAAGGATTCATTAGAGGCCAGAGCTGGGCAGAAGCTGGTCAGAGGGTCGTCAAGGAGCAGCGCGAACTATCGACTGGTCTGCCACATATACTGGCAACAGGCCAGCGATTTTCCAGATACGAAAATAGTACTCGAGTGCTGTGAAAACATATCTAAGACAGCAATGTGTCACATCCCATTCCTGAACCCATTGTTCCATTGTCCCATTGTTCATTGTTCTGGTTCATCAATGGGCTTTCCCTTCATTGTTCTATTCATTATTGTCCTTATTGTTCTCTGTCATTGTTCTGCTGGCATTCATTACATAACCTAGATCTTCTCCATTGTTCTCAATAGTATAAGTAGCTAGGTAGTGTACTGGATTCCCCAGCTGGAATCTCAACCTTGACAACCCCTCTGCTCTGTTGTTCATCCTCTGTCTCCTGGGCCTTGGCCAGGATGACTTCTTCTTGTCTCTCCTCTGTCAAGACCAAGGCAGTTCCTGTAAATTGGGGACAACCAGATGATGTGTAGGGGCACAGCACAAGAGCATGCTGAGGCCAAGTCCCCCCCTCTGTTCAGGTCATTACAGTACTGTAACGACCATGCTGGATGGGGTGGGGACTTGGCTTCAGCTTGACGGAAAGGGCAGCTGCGCCACCACGCAACATCTGGGTGTCCCCAATTTCGGATGAACAGGGAGGAGCCGGATTCCGGCAGTGAACTAGAGCAAAGAGGATGTATGTCGAGTTCAATATTCCAACTGAGGAATCTACTTGTAACAGGTCGTGTTGTCTTATCTGTGTTTGTACCAGTTTGGCATCATCCCCGACAATGCCTATGACTACTTTCGCGTATCCCGGATGTTTCTCTAGTCCTTACTTACTTGTTCACATGTAAACTACCAATTATACCTGGTCTTGTTTACTTGTGGGCAACGTAAGGCTCTTCTAATGGAACACATAGCATTTCACTTTTTTAAACAACCCTTTAATTGCTAGTTTACCAGAATTCACAACCACCCGATGTGCTTTAGCCACGTCACAGCCTTTTAACCCCCACCAACCCTTTTACTTATACTAGATACTTAAACCCCGATGGCTTTGTCTGAAGCATCAAATAATCATCCAGATGAAGGAGAGCTCTCTCCTGCGCACTCAGAGAGCGAGGACCTTGATGAAATCATCAAGGAAGCCAGCAAGACAGCCAGCATGGTAACGGGGCAAGCGGTCCAAGCCGATCCGCTCCATTATACACCAGCTGACAGCAGCAATCGGCCACAGAGCCGAGGCGAACCATTACCTGCGCGCAACGACACGCGAACACTCATGATGAGTAGTGGTTTGGGAGAATCCTCACCACTAGTACGGATGAACTCGTACTTAGCAACTCAACTAATTAGCTTCTGGTATGATGCGGAAGAGGAAGAGGTACCTGTCCAACGACGGTCGGAAATTGTTAAGGAGGCTATAGATAGTGCGATGATATCACGCACAGCCCGTGGCCTATCTGCTGGAGATCCTGATGATCAGGAATATGTCAAAGCAGTGATAAAACGAGTTGGCTTACTAGTTTCCTTCTACAAGGATTTGACCAAATGAGGCCAAGAAAAGGAACGATATGTTCCAACCCCCGAAAACTATGGCGAAACCATTAGAATGAGGTTGAATAAAACTGTAGTCTCACCTGAGATACCTGAGCAGCCTCAAGGTCAAGTAGCACTTGCGGCGAATCAAACAGCAGATGGCAATGGATCTGCACTGCCCCCACCGCTATCTGCTAGTCAGTTAATGGCAGGAGGATTGATGACAGGACCACAGGAAAGGTCAAAGAGCTATGCTCAGGCACCAGGACCTCAGAATAGAAGCGCATATGGTGCACCAACGTGGACACCACAGACGCCCGCACCAGTGCCAAAGCCGATAGTTGCACTTGCACCGAAGCTGGCAGTACAATCAGGTTGGCTAACTAGCCATCAGCAACCTGAACCTCCTAAGAAAATGAGAGAACGCAGACTTACAGATGCTGCCTCTACAGTGTCTGGAGGATCTCTTCCAGTTAGCTCGAAAGTATTGCATGCAATACATGAGGCAAGTAGTGCCCAGTCTTGATTAAAAGACATTCCGAAAGGACCGGAACATGTAGGAGTAAGATTCACTGGGGTTATGCCCAGTAATCCAAACTTGAAAGGAGAACCAGTCTCAGCGAGATTACCTGCATTGACAGGGAGAGTCAACACATCTTGTGAACAGATGGATGAACTTACCCGAAGATACCAGGTACCGGGATCATCGGTCATAGGGATAGCCAATGACCTGAAGGATCACATGGTCCTTCAAAAAATACGGGATGGTGATCTCAGAGCACAGGGCTATTCCAACTATGCAGATCAGGGCATACAGTGGGAGAATGGTCAAATGTTTGACCTAATGCACTTTGTATTTGAGCAAGCAGTAGCTCGAGACGTGGAAGCAAGGCGAACACAGGCTAAACAGAATGTGGCCACTGCACCAGCTCCAGAAGACCCAGGAGATGAGGGCAGTGACTCAGATGATGATGACAATGATAAGAATCATCGAGGCAATGACAACGGCCCACCAAGGGATCCTCCAAAGGATCCTAACAAGCCTAGAAAGTCGGAGTCACCTGACTGAGAAAAAAGGGTCAAAGATGAAAATCACAATGACATAGATCATGGAAGTACGCGATGGAGTTTACCACCTCCCAGTCGTCGTTGTTCAAGCCAAACACCTGCAACCCAAGAAGTCCAAAACTGGTACCAGAGCAAAATGCATAATCGCTTGAGGAACATTATCCGAGATCATTGTGGACAAAAGAGGGATATGGGCAGGGATAAGGACCGCCCCCGACCTCCGAACATGGACATGGTACCTAAGTATAAAGGTGATGAGCAGATGAAAATACTTGAAACCTGGGTTACCGATGTATCAATGTTCTTTGCCATCGCAAATCTCAGTGGACCTGAGAAGGATAATGCACGAGTTTATTATGCTGGACTCCTGTTAGATGACAAGGCTAAGGACTTTGCACGGCACCATATTTTTGGGCTGAATCGAGAGAAGGTTGAATGGACCTTCGAAGAGGTAGTTGCTGCGTTGTACGACTGATTCGTATTGCCATCAGTGACGCAAGATGCCTGCGCACTGTTCAATAAGGTGCAGTTTGATCCAGCTACTGGAGTTCAGGGCTTCTATGATAAGATATGTGATATTTCTGAGATGATGATGGATCATCCCGATCGCTTCACATTGGCAGACTGATTCTTACGTGGCTTGCCTCAGAATTGGAGGAATGAACTCTTTGATAGAGATTTTACTCCAGAAATGAATACCATTGAGGAGATGGTAGCCGAAGCAAAGGCGATAGAAGCTGCGGAGAAGACTGCTTGTCATTATGAGTATGGAAACAGTTATGAGGTATATACGAACCATACCTCGTCACACTCATATAAACACGGGACACTGCCTGCGCAGAAATCAGCTGTGAAGAAATCAACATCACATCAAGCACCTCTAGTGCCTAAACGCACATCATTCCAACCTTTTGTGAAGCCACAAGGAGGTACTCAGCAACCTCGGTGTCAGGAACTAAAAAGTACACAGGGCATTAAACCTGCATCAAACCCAAAGAACACGAGTGAGCCACCACGTGCTTCAGCAAATCCAGCACCTGGAAATGGAGCCACAAAATGCTATAATTGTGGTCAGCCAGGTCATTTCTTGAACGCATGTCCTCAGAAGAAGGGAAGACAGCCACAGGAATTTGTACGAGCAGCACATACTGAAGTGCCGGATGATGCGAACGACACTGATGCAGAAGACAAAGGTCAATTGTCGCACCATGAGTCTGCACATGAGCAGGATGAAGTACTTGAAGCGCCTGATGATGACGAGTATGAAGTCGAGGGTCAAGAAACCAAGGAGGTCGAGTATGATGATTATAATAATGAGTATTATGCTCGAAATTCAGAATCAGAAAGGTTCGCAGGGATGCATACCTTGGAAGATGAGTCTCCTCCACCCGACTATGAGAGCCTTGCAGCTATGACAGAGGTTACTCCATACTCAGAGCAGAGTGATGAGGTTCAGAGAATGCCAGGGCATAAAAGAACCTTGAAATCTACAAAGGTCATGAGAGCACAACCAGTAGTTAAACCAGAAGATAAGGCATGCCTTATCACTTACACCAAGGTCAATGACCATGAAGCATGGACACTATGGGATGCTGGGAGTACAACGACAAGTATAACCCCATTGTTTACCGATGTGGCAGATGTGACGGCCTTCCCATTACTGGATCCCTTCATGCTCCAGTTAGGTACAGTCGGGAGTCAATCAAAAATAACGCACGGCGCGTATGTTCAGGCAACGATGCCCGGATGTGACACAAAAACCTACGTTGACATTTGTAATCTTGACCGATATGATATGGTCATCGGAACACCATTCATGCAAAAGAACAAGGTTGTTCTCGACTTTGGACGTAATATAGTTCAAATAAATGGGCAAGAGATGCCTGCCTTGCAATACCCTGAAGATGTTGATCCGTGGCTACACCGAGCCCGAGCAAATGATCGAAAGGCTGATTGACTCAGTGATAAAACCCATCAAGCGACTGCTGAAGAGGTCATTGACGAGGATGATCTAAGAGCTCAGAAGCATCTGAGTAGCCGATCACTACCAGACACGATGGAATCCATTGTGATGTCTGAAAGTGAATATCAGGAAGAGTTAAAAACTCTTGAGAGGGGGAAGGGCAGGGCACCGCCCGAAAAAATCATGAATAAAAAAGAACCTAAAGGGTCTCAGAAGGTGAAAAAGTCACCTCAAGGACCAACTCGAGATCCGACTTTCGAGTATTGTCAACCCACTTCGTCAAAAGTGAAGGTGGAAGACCTTGTCACTGATGAGATGGAGCAGAAGATTCTCCAGGAAATAGAGAACGAGCAGAAGCCAAAGACGGCTAAGCATGTAAAAATGTTCTGGGAATGACCAGTCGCTATGCCAGAGATAGACTGGCCATATGATCCGCGCATGCCTCGAGAGTTCAATGAGTTGATCGCCAACGTCCAGGTTCATCGAACCATTGGGCAACAAAATACTCCGAGTGAGTATCGAAATGCTACCTCGGAAGAGGTTTCTGACACGATTGAGTTTGACTCGATCTATGTAAATGCACCCAGTGTACGGGCAGAAACTCAGAGGCAGAAGGAACCTACATTAAGGTTAAACCTCCCACCAGATGACATCCATAAGCTAAAGAAGCTTTGGGATAGGTTTGAGCGAAAGCCTGGCCCAAAAATAAAGACAAAAGACCCAAAGGCCGAAATACAAGCGGCCAGAGAGTTGAAAGGAAAAGGCAAGGCGAAGCTCACCGAGGAAGACATACCTCAGCTGCAAGAACATTGGCAGACCGAGTACGCAGACATGGTCGATGGAGCACCTAGAAAACTGCCCCCGCTTCATGAGATTAATCACGAAATACATCTAATTGACAAAAATAAGCAGTATGCTTATCACTCACCTAGATGTCCACACTCGCTGAGAGAGCAATTCTACGAGAAGCTCAATTGTTATGTGGACTCTGGGTGGTGGACCGCGAGCACGGTGGTGCAAGCAGCACCAATCTTATGTATCCTGAAAAAGGACGGTAAACTACGTACCGTACTAGATGCTCGTCAGCGGAATAATAATATGGTGAAAGATGTTACACCGCTACCTGATCAGGACATCATCCGTGATGATGTAGCATGGGCGAAGTACTGTTCAAAGATTGATTTAACCGATGCCTATGAGCAGGTTAGAATCCGACCGCAAGACATATTAAAAACGGCCTTCGCAACAATTGCTGGCACGTATGTTAGCAACGTGATTCAAATCAGAGATTGTAATGCACCTGCAACATTCCAGAGACTAATGACTCACATATTCCAGGACGTTATTGGCCGATTTTTGCATGTGTACTTAGATGACCTTTTCATCTATTCGGAGACAATTGAGGAGCACGAACAGCACCTCAAGGTCGTATTTGATCGACTTCGAGAGCATCAGTTATATCTCAAGTGGACAAAATGCAAATTATATTCACCAAAAGTTGACTGCTTGGGTCACTTGATTGATGAGAGGGGGATACATCCTGACGAGGATAAGTTATCACGGATCAGGGAGTGGCGCACTCCTCAGAATTATAACGACATCCAACGATTTGTTGGCCTAGTAAATTATGTATCAGCATTTTTACCAAACATCTCGGTATACACGGGACCACTTATGGCTATGACGAGTAATGGAGCACCATTTTACTGGTGCCTGATTCATCAACGATGCTTTGAAATGATCAAGCACCTGTGCTGTAAGACTCCGATTTTACAACCAATCAAGCCAAAGGAAAAAGATCCTATCTGGGTAATTTGCGATGCTTCTAGTCTGGCATCGGAGCTATGTACGGACAAGGACCCACTTGGAATGCATGTAGGCCTGCAGGATTCATGTCAAAAAAATTTACTCCTGTGCAGATGAATTACGCTGTCCATGAGCTAGAAACTCTAGCCATCTTGGAAGCCCTGCTAAAATGGGAAGATAAGCTCATTGGTTATAAGATTCATGTAATCACTGACCACAAGGTGCTTGAATTCTTCAAGATGCAATCGACGTTGACAAACCGTCAGCATCGATGGCTGGACTACTTATCCAGATTCAATTTTGACATCACGTATATCAAAGGCGAGCTGAATAAAGTCGCGGATTGTTTGTCGCGATATTATGAGAGTGACACACCAAAAGATCATCATGAACCCTTTGAATTTGTTAACGTGGATGTGCAAATAGATAAGGCAGGAGAGGACTTGCCTGAGCCACGATACCGGGAGGTAATGGACCTACCAGAACAGCTTTGGGCTATGGAACTCCATAGAAGTAAACGGATAAAAGATAAAATTGAGGAACGCGAGCGTGAAGCTCAACTCCTCAAGGAACAGCCTGAGCCAGTTATGAGGCCAGAGCCTAGCTCTTTTCCACAGGATCCTAAACCACGTGAGATACCTTGTAAGAGAGTGCCCACCAATGATATGACATTGGCTGAGGCCTTACTCGGTTGCGATAACGTTCAACCACACCCGGCTGGACAAGATAAAACATTAGAACAAAAGATCAAATTCCAATATGGGAAAGATGACCTTTTCAAACAGGTACTTGCAGATCCCACAGCATTCCGACATTTCAAAGTTGAAGAGGGGTTAGTTTACACTTCTAACCATAATGGGGCCAGGGTAGTTTGCTTACCCTGAAGCGATTGAGACACAATTACACAAGTAATCGATCAAGGTCATGTCGTGGTGGGACACTTTGGAAATCAGTGAATGTCAGAATACATTCGCCGATGGTACTGGTGGCCACGGATGGGAAAGGACATCACAGAGTGGTGTAGAACCTGCATGACATGTCAGCAAATCAAAACTTCAAATCAGAAGCCAACAGGGAAACTTCACTCACTGCCAATCCCAACGAAGCCTTGGGACTCAATAGGAATGGATTTCATAGGCCCATTCCCCGAATTGAAGGGCTTCAATTACCTATGGGTGGTCATATGCTGTATGACAAGCATGGTGCACCTCATTCCAGTACACACAAAATGAAAGCTTCTGACTTATCATGGATATATTGGCGAGAGATTGTCCGGCTACACGGTCTACCGAGCTCAATTGTGAGCGACTGAGATTCAAAGTTCACTTTGAAATGGTGGTGAGAACTGCACCAAATACTTGGTGCTAAACTACTCATGTCGATGTCTTTCCATCCACAGACAGATGGGCAGACAGAACGAGCGAATCCTTCGGTTGGGCAAATATTTAGATCAGTCATCAGTCATGACCAGAAAAACTGGGTAGACTGTGTTGATATGACTGAGTTTGCCATTAATGCTAGTATATCAGAAACTACACGATACGCACCATTTGAGCTTAATGGAGGGTATCTTCCATCGATGATTAAAGAGATTCGAGAGAAAAAGGCACCAAAAGGTATTCTCTTGTTTGCACAAGCAGCGCTGGAAAATTTAGCCAACACTCATGATGCAATTATAGAGTCACAAGTGGTTCAAACGCTCAAAGCAAATAAAAAACAAGGGGATGAACTCACACTCGATAAGGACGACTTGGTCTTTCTCTCGACCAAGAATTTAAATTTGCCGAAGAATCGCACATGGAAACTATGTCCAAAATTTATTGGACCATATAAAGTACTAGAAGCCTATCCAGAGACGTCTACGTATGCCCTAGATTTGCCACCGATGCTGAAGAAAAGGAACATTTTCAATAAATTCCATGCATCATTGTTACGACCGTACTTAGCTTCCTCGGATGCTCTGTTCCCAAACAGGGCTACACCAGAGCCATACAATTTTGGTGCAGATGACCATCAAGAGTGGTATGTGGAGGACATAATTGGCCACTGAAGAGACAGCAGTGGGAAGCTGGAGTACCAAGTGCGGTGGTCTTTGGGAGACACCACATGGGAGCCACAAGAAGAGTGTAAGAAATTGGAAGCTCTGGACCGGTATCTCGAACTTCACAGTGTTTGATACCCATCGCAGCTTCCAAAAGCTCCCCAAAACCTGGTAGTGCAAGAATAAGTTCGTTTACAAGATAAGAAAGACATGGAAGTGGAATGTTCCCACCCTTTCATAGTTCATCCCACCACATCGAGAAACGTATGTCTCATCCACCCAATCACGGTAGGGGCAATGTTAGAGCAAGAGGGAGGAGTTCCTCATGAGGCTCTCCAGGGTATTCAAGTGCGTACCGCCCTTGAGAGGGGGGGAAACCGGTGCTGAAGTTTTTTGGAGCTTAACGAAACAACACATTAGGACTGGGATCGCAAAGCAGCGCACACTCACCTCAGGCCAGCTACGGTGCACCTAGCTGGATCAGCACACCATCAGCTGACCTCAACTGGGGAGCAGAGCCTTTCCAGATCCACGAGACTGGACTTATGGACAAGTGTGGTCGTCAGCAGGACCGACCGATTGGGCCAACCCAACAACTGCATATGCAGTAGGCACCTCTAGTTACGCAACGGAGAGACAAGTGCCGGTACCCCGTGCTTCATATGACCGCTTTGCAATCAATGCCTTACGCTGTCAACTACTCGAACTTGGAATCGCTGAAGAGGACGTAGACACAATTGAAGACCCATCCGTATTACGGATGACACAGCAGCTTGTGGAAAAGATTCTCCGAGATTCCAATGAGCGTCGGCGAGTGGAGCACCAGCACAGTCGAACACTGTATTTCGGTCAACGCCATTCTCAGTCACCAGGGCCATCACCTACAATGTCTGGCCCACCATCATCACAAGCATCAGAACGTTCATCTAGCCGACCAGCTTCTGGTATGGCTAATCGCCCTCTATGAACCATCTCCAGCAGTTTGCCTCTCCCTTCACCGACTGCGTATGCACCAGCAATGTTGCTGATACATGCAAGTCACACTGAACTCAATAATGAAGGAGCAGACCGCCCCACTAAGAGGAAAAGGAAAGAAGGGAATCACGTCGAGGTACAACTCCCTGATTCCTTGCCCGCCTATGAACGAGGAGTGGAGGAATCCTCTCGCTTCGGAGAAAGCAGAGTCACGGCATACGTGCGAGCACTTGAAGGTGTGAACCGACGTATTAGCGGTGTTACACCAGAAGAGGACCCTATCACCCGACGGACAGACCTCACCGGATACACAGGAGATTCAGATGATGAATCGGGCAATGAGTCCAGTGATAGCCAGTTGGAAGACTTCCTCAACTTCGACAAAAACTATGCTCCCCCACCTACCGATCACGTTGAGTCAAATGACAAGCGAGAGGAGCAGGAGAACTTGAACCAATACAACTGGAACAAGGTGCAAAGTGCCTATTGTAAGGCCCTCGAGCAAATCATTCGACGGAACCCCACCGTTAGCGGGTTAGCCCTGGTTGCAGGACAGGTCAAACACGCCAATCACTTGTTTGGAGTAGGCGAACTATGGGCACCTGTCATTCTTGTTTGTAGTGAGAATACTGTGCTCGCTGGACTCACTGCACAACACTATGTTGATGAACTCAAGCGTGCTGACATGCGCCACCCTCCGAAAATGCTGCCCAACACGCCAGTGTACAAGGCTGCCCCGCAAGGATATCCCATGACACCTATGGAGGTGGATGCATTAGTGGCTGTTGCTTGCAACAGGACAGGACACAAACACCCTCGCGCAGAGGCACATGTCCTCCTCCAATCCTTTCATGCGGCCGCTACTCGTATCGACCGATCACAGCGTGATGATGCCATGCATTGTATACTCGACTCCACGGTGTTTGAACCAACGTACTTCCCCGAGTTCATGGAAAATGCCCATAGTTATATCATACCGCCGATGGTACCACCGACTCAACACACCCGCTCGTCCAACCAAAACTCCAGCTCGGGTTATGGGCTAGCCATGCCCACCAACCCATTCGACATCATAGCTCGATGCCAGTATGTCATAGCACACCAAATGATAGGTACACCAAACGCTATCAAAGGCGTCATCATTGACTTTGCGGGTCGGGTATATTTACCAACCATGTTTGCGTACCTACTAGCTAAACTCCTCAGCCCGGTGGCTAAGCAGGCCTCCAAGATGTGGATTGCCCTCTTTGCGCATATTGTAGCTCGCCCACATTGGTATGCTGAACGCATTGCCCGGTATAACGACACGCACCCTACAGCACCCTACAGCACCCTTCGTCGAGAGCATAGTCCCCACATACATCTTCCACTCTTTGGAATTGACCGATTCGACCTATCGGAATGCGACTGAGGACAATGTTGTTAACGACCTCATTCGCAACGGGATACCCGTGGCCTGGGTGGATCATGCATACACATTCGGGCTCAGGGTGCTCAACCAGACGGTAACCAACTTTGGATGATTCCAAGAAGTGTCTCGAGTCGATAATGAACATATGGATCGCCTCCGGAGATTTGGTGTTCCACCTACGTTACCATCCTGGTCAGGGTGGTGGTCACCGTCTATAGATGACATCCAAAGGATATGGTACCTTTACTTCACCAATCCCGAAGGGTATGATCTCAAGAACCCTTTCTTCCTACCCTTCGGCAGGGATCCAACACCGCCTACCCTGATCAGTTGTCTCCGCAAGGGAATAGTTCCCTTTACAATCCCATCTTGGAACCCGTTGGCCTCGCCAATTGATGACTCCGCAGGTGAAACCACTGTAAACTCCACATCGATGCCTTCTACTCATGACGAGGACGCCGATATGGAAGATGCATCACCAGCAGTGCCAAAGGAAACTCTGGCCACCCAAACAATGTTATCTTCCACCACCTAAATCAACATACACTGCCAATATGTACCCGTTGCCGTGTGCATCATTGTCAACACGTCGTATCGTCATCGTCATCGTAACCGGGTTGTACTACTAAACGTCTTGTGTCCAAGCTAGCGAGTTGTTTGTGAGACCGTTAACGCAGTCTGAAAGGGGGGTATGTAACAGGTCGTGTTGTCTTATCTGTGTTTGTACCAGTTTGGCATCATCCCCAACGATGCCTATTACTACTTTCGCATATCACAGACGTTTCTCTAGTCCCTACTTACTTGTTCATGCGTAAACTACCAATTATACCTGGTCTTGTTTACTTGTGGGCAACGTAAGGCTCTTCTAACGGAACACGTAGCGTTTCACTACTACTGTACATGGGTATTTATGCTATGTAGGATAATGGACCATGATTATGTAATAGATAACTTAGCCGGGACAAGGAGAACAATGAAGGACAATGGGACAATGGCTGGGAGACACAATGGAGTGAGCTGGAAACATGGCTCGCCTCGGAAGTGCCTCGGAAGCGCACGGCTCGTTCCCAGATGTCTCGGAAGTGTCCCGGAAGAGCATGGCTCATTACCACAAGCCTCAGAAGCTGGATACAGCCTTGGGAGCCAGATAATTGTGCCAGAAGCCGGGGACGGGTCGTGACACAATGAGCTTGATGTCTCGTGTTAGAGCGAGAACGAAAGGTAAATGTCATGAACACCACCTTGTGTCTGTCATGTGCAACGGATTTCCCTCAAGACTTCGAAATCTGGGAGCGATCTTTGGTGCTGCCTCAGAGCAACAATATATGGAGACCTCAGAGAGAAAGGCAAGTAGGCGTTGGTGATTTATTTCTCTCCCAATCCAAAGAAACCAAGGTTTTGGCAAATCCCGACGAGTAGGCATGATGCAGACATGAAGCATAACTTCTACTCCTACCACCATATCCCATCTTTCTTCTTCCAATCGACATGGGGACCTCATTTGTGCTTACTGGAAAAGGCTACCTGCAGACACAACATTGGCCCACTCAATCGTCAAGATGAAAGTTGACGAGGACAAGGTCAAGACTCTCAGCCCTCAGTTGCTTACCGCCTACTCAGGCAAGCCAGGTACGTAGACTGCCTTTTCCTTTTGACATATTTCCAAGTTACTACTTCTTCACTACAACCAGGTGATGCCATTCAATTTGTGGAATACGTCAAACGCAACATCCGCCTATACCAAATCCTCAACCTCTGGGCTCTCCAACCGGCTGTGGCTGCCTCATGGATTTGGAGAGCCATTGCAGAGTCACTGCGATCATGCAAGCCCTACTCTGTCAACCTCTTGATGATTATGACACGTCGACGGATGGCCCACATCTCTACTGGGTCAACTATTTTGGGACGATGGCAGAGGTGCCGTTTGCTGCCCAGGGCTATGGATCCTACTTTGCTCTTAGTTTGCTTGATTGGTGAGTTTACTCGCGTTACTACTGTACATTTATGATACGATGGTCGTCTCATAGATATCACGATCCCCATGCCACCCTTGAGGAAGGGATTGCAACATTGAAACACTGCATCGACGAGGCCTCCAAGTGTCTTGTCATCAGCCCTGGAGCATATAAGGTCAACTTTGTAGAGAAGGATGGTGTTGGGGTGGTCGAGCTGTAAGATGAGGATGGGTGGCTGAAGGGACCACAATGTTACGTGGCTGCAGCTGACTTCGCCTTGATGACCAGCCTCTGGCTTTAACAGCATCCTGGTGAGTACGGTTGGTGGATTTGTCGCCGCTGAAGTAGGATTCTGGGTGGGAAATGCGCGAATTATGTCTATGGACAAAAAGAACTGGTACATTGAGGCAACTTGTTGGCTGCTCACTGCCAGCTGACAGTCATTTGTTAATCGGTATCCGTCTAGGCTCTGAGATGTATAGGGCTGCCTCCCAGCCCAGACCTTTCCGACCTACAGGTTGTAAGGGTGTTCAACTACACATTTTTTTCATCCACGTAGGGCTTCGAGAAATATCGGCCTGGATGTTGAGATTGCTGCCCGCCGCCAGAGAGCTTGAGCAAGTAGAACAATGTCGGTCTACCACAACATCTGAGATGATACCCTGAAAGGCCCTCCTGTATTTTTGAAATACCCAAATTCAATCTTTCTTCCGAAACTCCTATTGTGCCTCAACAGCTACAGACAACGTCGTTACTGGTATAATGTTTTGTGATGCTGTGGCCTGTGAAGGTCCTGCTGGCATTTCCATTAGCCTCGTCTTCTTCAAGTTCCGTTATGTTCTCCTCACAAGATTTTTCTCTGGCTCCTGCCCCCCAAGAAGAGTCGCTCTCCCTTCTTGCGAACGGGGGCTCTTCATTGCGTCGATGACCTTCCTGGTGAGTACAGTGTCTCTATTCCTAGTTCCATGGAATTTGCGGACGCATGTGCGCTGGCAAAGGGGAGGGGTTGTCTCAGCGGGTAAAGTTGCCATCTTCAGGTCCCAGGGGTCTACTAGCTGTGTCAAGGATCAAGTCTCGGATTGATGATGGACGTCCTGGCTTTCGGCATACCTGGTTTATGCTTGGAGCAGCGACTGGACAACACAGACAGTTTCGGCACCATTCTACATGGTATCATTCTTACAAACTTGACGGAGGCTATGCCTCTCGTCCATTACAATGCCAGGGTTGGCTGGATGGCGCCAGTGTTGGAGGTGGCACTAGTAGCTGTGCATGGGAGAGAAGGATTCTCTTAATCTCCACGAGGTCTGGAGGCAGAGTATCGAGAAGAACCCTGGCAAACCCTTTAATCGCTGAGCATCGCATGTACTGAGTATGAAAATGTGAAAATGCGGACGTCCCCGCTCTATACTTGTATTTTGGGTGACCTTCAAGTCATAGACTGGTGGTAAACTCAACCGAGACCCCCAATTGAGTGGGTAAGGTGCACATTATGATATCCTGCTCGATATTCAGAGCCAGAAATTTGGCTGTGTTCTGGGGAAATGAACATGAACGTCAGTTACATGCTGCAATAATGTAAATGGTATCATACGAAGTCCACGTCCAAGGCATCAGCTCTTCTTGGTATGCATCCTCTGTGACCACCTCGTGTTTGCTTCATTGGATCTTCTGAGACAGCAGATGAAGACAAAAAGTCAGCCAACCCTGGAAGGCATAGATTTGAAATTGTAGCATAGCTAACAGCCTTGTCGCACAAGCGCCAAATCGGTGGACTGTAAGGCTTCGCAACTCCATACACCAATTGATGATCTCCATGTGAAGAGTTTAACCCTTGCTGATCGCTTCAAAGAGGTTGCAAGTGCTCTGGAATCCCATGGAGCTTGTTCAGTTTCTTCTAACTATGCTATGCTGGCAGATGAAATTTGTCTTCAGAATAAGGCTCGCAACCACACCCTCCTTGCTGTAGAATATAAGCAACTTCTCAAAGAGATTCGGGCTCTTCCAGATTTTCATAACTTTCTTCAGCCATCTAAGGCCACCGACCTCCTCTTCTCATTACCTACTGATGGTCCAGTCATAATCTTCAACATTCACTAGGCAATGGCACAGGTTTGCTGACCCATGGTGGGTCATTATTAGTGCTACATATATAGCATGCCCCAGAATTGCTGATGTGTGACATACTTTTCAAACTCCCAGAATCCTTGACACCACACCATTGTGAGCATTCTGATACACCTTCCCTGGTGCTTAAAAATAAAATAAAAATATTTCCATGGAGCAAAGATGATTTATGAGAAATGTACCAGATTTTATATTATAGAGATGAATCGTTGTTGAGCAATATGTTTGTCACTCAAAAAGTTTCAAACTCCCAGGATGACATAGTACTCTGCACTATTTTTAATTGAACACCGAGCTTTTCTTCAAGTTGACATGCTGTTGTGGCTGACTGGCCATGCACGGCTTGAGTTCGGCTTGAGCCTGCGTCTGATTAAAGACATCACGTGCATGGGGCTCTATGTCACAGGCGAGTCACGGACATGTGATGGCGTCGAGTCTGGTTTGGAAAACTGCCGGTAGATAGCCTTCAACTCTCCCCTCTTTCACACCGATTTTCTACCTTGTGCCAACGTCAATCGTCCCCAGCCCTTTACACTGTTCCATCCTGCAATGTCTGGCATGAAATTGAGGCTAATGTGCCTAGTCTGGCCTGATGACAGCCCGGATGAACACAGTGTCGCGGTCAAAATCGACAACGACGACACTGTTGCCGATCTCAAGGAATTGATCAGAGACAAGCATGCCCCTCGGCTCGATAAAGTCGCTGCCCCCGATCTTGTACTCTGGAAGTGTTCCAGTCTTCCTGATGATAACCTGGAACAAAGCTTGAAAACTCTTCAGTTCGATGGTTCTGACGTTCGCCTTGTTCGCCTACACATTGCCCGGCGGCAAATTTCTCAGCTTTTCGAAGGTGAAGACTTATCCAAAGAACCCCTCCACGTCCTGGTTGAGGCACCCGCGCTTGGTGAGTGTGGCCCCCGTATCTCCTGTTCCATGCTGAAGGGTCTTGTATTGAACGTCCAGCCCAGCCAACTTCCAAGGTGAGCATGCATAGCTCCTTCACATTAGCTGATAAGCCAATACCTATTCACGCGACATAAAGGATCAGACTAGGAGTGAAGATAAGGAGGAGGATGAGAAACACGAGGCGCACGACAAAATCACGGAGCTCATCGCGATTACGCACAAAAGTACATGTGGCCATAGCGGGATTCTTGTTCACTTGGTTGACTTTTACCACTCCAGAGTACAAAAGCAGTCTCACGAAGAACGTAAATGCGCCTTCTCCTTCCGCAAGTGCAAAATCGGGCGGATATGTGACTTTCCAAAAAGATGGCGATCCGATCTACGACGGGCGTTATGTTGCCACTCTCCCAGCCGAGACGCGAGCTCCTCCTATCCAAATATATCACCCAGATTTTGCCCACTTTTGGGACGATTCTACCAACACGAACTTGGAAGTGCCCCCAGAAGTCGTACGGGCTACTGCTCGCTTCATGGGTAAGGCATCTGGCATCTACAAGAACGAAGACATCCGGAGATTCGCCATTCGCTCGAAACTCTTGGATGTCCTCAACTGCGGTATGAAAAAAGTCGTCAATCTTGACTCGACATCACCCAATGGAATAGTGATCACACAGGCATTAGTGATGGTCGAGGCTGCTGCTATCGGCATTGAGGAGGACAAGAATGAATTTGGTGACGGAGGCTCCAATCCTTCAACCCAGGCAGGTTTATCTTATGGTCGGTTTTGGGCACAATCGAATGTACGTGCTTTCAAATCTTTCTTCGCTGATTCTCTCATTGAGCCTGCTCCCTTAGCATGCGAAAATCCGAGAGAACAGCTGCTGTCCCTCTTTCCTTATTGCAATTGCTGGCGCATCAATCGCTATACTAGGTGCCATCTGGACAGATAAAATCATCGTTCAACGACTTACCAACTACATCTGGCTCGGTCATGACACTATCTTCAATGACGAAGCTATCTATCGAAATGTGCATATCTTGTACGCTCTCTCCAGAAGTTTGCGGAGGCTTGATGTGTTTTACAAATCCCTCAAAATTCAGTCTCAGCCTCCTGTTCCAAAGAAACTTGAACCTCGCTATTTCCCATCCATCAATGCATACCGTGGACTTGACGACACGATTATCAATTTCACGTTCATCATACCTTTGGAATTGGATTCTGTCTGTACAACATTTCTGGCGAAGACTGAAGGCCCCGTCTCCGAGCCCATTGTTGTCAAGTTCGTACGCCGTTACAACAAAGAGGCTCACCAGCTATTGGCAGCAAAGGGCATGGCCCCAAAGCTTCGTTATTGCGACAAAGTCGGCGTTCGTGATGGTGATCCATCATATGGTCATCTTCGCATGATAGTTATGGACTTTGTTGATGGTGAAACAGTTGAGAAGGCAGAGACCCTTCCTCCGACGTTCCATCAGCAGATTCAAGATATCTTGACTGTTTTGCACCAGGCTGACTATGTGTTTGGCGATCTTTGTGGGCCAAATGTCATGATCACAAAGAATGATGAAGTCGTCTTCATTGACTTCGACATGGTTGGTAAACATGGAGAGTCCACATATCCTATCATGATGTCTCCATCCATCCAATGGGCAGACGGTGTTGCAGATGGCTTACGTGTGATGATGAAGGAGCACGACCTCAAGATGTTGCAACGGCTCGTCCCAGGAGCAAGCTTCTAACGTAGATAGCAATAAACAAGCATATTTCTAGTATGTTGGCGCATTAAAGATCGTATCAGTATAATTACCCCTTGGCCATATATGTATATTATATGGTTCATAATGAGTTATTCTTTCCCTTCTCATTTACATCTAAAAGAGCACCCGAATCTTGTGGCAGTATCAGCCGCCCTAACTGCAATGTCAGCTCCAACACTGAGCATAGGCGACGATGAGAACATACCAGCAGGAGATGCCCAATCGTGTCTTTCGTCACAGTGCCGATCTTGCTGGTGAGATTTGCTTCTCCGAAGTCTTTGTAAGGGAAGAGAGTTCGCACTATATGCGCGACAAGTGTCGGCGATATCCCACCGTATTTTCAGTTGTGAGTAAGGAGGATGTGCTCCTCGTATTCCAATTCCACAAGATGTCGACACATGCGAACTTCTGGCTTGGGAGTGAAAAAACTGAGAGGACGACCCAGCAATTGGTCCGGCTTGAAAATATGCTGCAATTGAAGGGGTCTAGACAGAGGACTCCCTCAGTCGATCGCTGGTTTATCAAGTACAAGCCATGCACCGCGTTGACCATTTTCGTACTCATTGAGAAGGCTCCCCTCTCCATGTGGGAATCCCGTTTACGAACCTTTGCTTTCCCGTCAATTGGGGACACAATGATTTGTGCGTCGTCCAGTTCTTTATTTCGTATGGTTTGTTTTTCCTATTGCTCAGCTTCACGATATTGCGACAACCATTGCATTTCAGGGAGGACTCAGTCACGGAGCCAGGAAAAACCGATGCATCTTTCTCAAGGACGGCCTTGCACTGTTGAGGATTCTGGCGCGGCATCTGTGGAGCTGTTGACAGCTTATTTTTCTTTTGTTCCTGATCAGTCATATCGCCATCGCTCTCATCATTGGGTAAAGCCTGTTTATGAGAAGGAAGGTAAGATAGATTTCTCAGGCCGGCCTGTCGCCTGAGAAGCGAAAGTTGACAGTGGCGGTGTCGACGCGTGTGGCGAGCGTGAGCCGGATGATCAATGATTCAATTGGGCCCTGTCTTTCAGGCAGCTCTTTAGGCTTGCGCGATCCCATCGCGGAGCGAGTAGGTTGAATGACACCCATCCTGACACCAGCATAGCGTTATTTCCCCCAGATGCCTATTCCTCCGCCTATTCGGATGGCCGGTGAGAAGCAAATCAAGACAAGGCTAACAGAAGGACCGACCGATGAAGTCACATCTTTGGCAGCCCTGGATTTCGACCCTCGAGTCAAATTTAATGCTGAGACTCAGGGTTGACTCAGTTTACAAATTCTTCCTTGTCGACACCTAGAATAGTTGAATCACTAAACTTGGCTGACAATTGGAATTAGAATACTCACAAGTCCAGCTACAGTGAGAAAAGAGAGGGATATTGAATATTGCTTGTGCATCTGTAACCAGAGATTAAACAACAGCTGGGTATGAATGAGCTGTTGGTCGTGATGAAAGGCTTGAACGGATCGCCATTTAGCTCAAGGGACCCAACATTCAAAGCAATTGAGAGCCTAGGTCTTGATAAAGTACAACCTTGTCATTCGGTAGATGATATGGAGAACGGATTAGAAAACATGAAGACAGAGTTGATCGCAGTCACGTAACGTCGCAATCCCTTTAACCACTTATCTTCATCTACAACCTTGATCTTGTACGCTCCAGGACTGACAACGAGACGCTTGGACACCTCGTCAATGCAGCATTTCAATGTTGCAAGCCCTTCCTCAAGGGTGGCGTTGGGATCATGATATCTACACGACAACCATTGTATCGGCAATGCACAGCAGTAATGCCAGTAAACTCACCGATCAAGCAAACTGAGAGCAAAGTAGGATCCATAGCCGTGTGCGGCAAACGGTACCTCGGCCATCGTCCCAAAGTAATCGACCCAGTAGAGATGTGGGTCGTCCGTCGCCGTGTCGTAACCACCTAGCAGGAGGTTCACAGAGTAGGGCTTGCGTGATCGCAGTGACTCTGCAACGGCTCTCCGGATCCATGAGGCAGCCGCGGCCGGTCGCAGGGCATAGAGGTTGCGGATTTGATACAGGCGAGTGTTGCGTTCGACGTATTCCGCGAATTGAATCGTGTCACCTAGTTGTGGTGAAAAAGTAGTCACTTATATACGTGTAAAAGCATTCGAAAGGCAGACAACGTACCTGGCTCGCCTGAGTAGGCCATGAGCAGATGGGGGCTGAGAGTCTTGATCTTGTCCTCGTCAACTTTCATCTTGACGATTGAGCGGGCTGATGTTGTGTCCGCAGCCATGATGAGGTAGCCTTTGCCAGTAAGAGCAAATGAGGTCTCCATGGCGGTTGGAAAAAGAAAGAGGGAATATGGCAGGAGGAGTCGAAGGTGAACTTACGCGTCCTGTCACTCACTCAGGTCGGTCGACACGTGTCGTCGGGATTTGCCGAAGCCCTAAATCATGGTTAACGGTGGTGGTCTGAATCCGGATCTGGACGCTCTCGTGGTCAGAATCGAGACCACAGATCAAGGAATAGTCTTCTACATACGAGGGTTTCTTTGAATTTTTATTCTCACCCTCGCAACCCGAAAGATACAAGCCGATGGTCTTGGCATAGCGCTTATTGGAAACTTGTCTTCCACGAAATGTCAGCTTCACATCCCTCCACATCCATCAGATTTTTCTAATCTGCAGGCGATTGGGCCTCACATATAAGAGCCGTAATGAGGACTTCAATAGAGTCCTCTTGGCCCCACCAGATGAGTTCCACAGTGACGACTCCAACAGTCCAGCGCGGTGCTGCACAGACATGCCCAGAATGCCTCTCCTCCAGTCTCGTCCTATCCGGAATCGCCTATGGAATCGTCGCAACACTCTTCTTCGACTGCCTCCGTCTCTTGATTCAGAAAAAAGCCTCTCTTTCCTCCCGACGCCGGCTGCTCTTCATCACCTACATGTCGATGATGTTCCTCGCAAGCACGACAGCTGTGGTTCTAGGCTCCATCAGCGTTATGTGGCCGCCAGGCGTCGGGAAGATCTTTTCACAACATGTCTTTGGACCGTATGTGTTTGCATTGTGGGGAGCTGACGGCATGATGGTGAGTCTCGATTGTCCAGGCAGGCGTTCTTCAAGTGCTGACAAGGAACCTCATGGAAAGATTTGGAGTTGTATGCAGACACCCAGCGTATTTTCTTCCGAATTCTCCAGTTCATTCTCGGAGCGCTCGCGTTGGCTTCCTTAGGCAAGTCGACGATTTGGGGGTTTTTGCATGACTTCCTTACCAACTGCTGAACAGCATGTGGAGTGTTGTACTTTATCCTCCCGTTACGAATGGCGAATACGGATTCCTGCATGCCTATTTTCCTGGTCGCTCTCCCAGAGTTAACCACGCTTACCAACACCATCCTCGCAAGCCTGGTCGCATTTCGCCTCCTTTGGCACCAAAGGCGTACACGACGGGTGCTTGGAGAGACCTACGGGACACCGTATATGAGAATCGTCAACATATGCATGGAATCATGCTTGCTGATTGTTTTGTTCAACATTGCGCTAACTGTGCTCTTCTTGAAGGAGTCCGGGCCCACGACGGTGATAGTGGAGTTGCTTATCACTCACGTCTCGGTACGTTCATTCACTACCGCGGGACGGAAATGAAAACTTTCGCACTATGGTGGCTAAATGCGATCTCTCTTAGGTACTTTCTCCTCTATTCGTGTTCCACCGTGTCGCACAAGGGACAGATGCGGTCACCAGCATCCAGACCCAAGATATCCGTTTTCAGATCGAGAAGCCCACAGACTCAGCAAATGAAACCAACCATAGAATATCCACTCTTCGCTTTACCACTTCTGGAGGGACGGAGAGCACCGCATGAGTTTCGTTCCTGTCTATATACCCCAAATTTTCGAGGAATCACATATTTACGATTGGAATGTAGGAACACTGAAATTCTTCGCGTGCCTATGCGAGCAGCAATTGATGACAAAAATTTCGCCATCGACTAGCCTCAAATTGACCCTGCGGGGTCTCCCGAGGAAATGCCTCGCCTCGCTTCCCGCCAATCGTCGTCTTGTGATGTCCAAAACAGGTAGGTGTGGCGCCTGCCATAACTGAGGCCCTTCCTGCTAAAGAAGTCGTACAACTCGTGGCGGAATTTTGGGACACATTGTCTCTATGTGGAAGTATAATTCATTACAAAGCATTCGGACAATCCCATGCGGGGACCATGCGGTATTCTCGACGGGCCGTCTCTTCCATTTCTTTCCTAGCATGATGAATCAATTCTTCTCATTTTTTTCGTATGTTTTAGGGAAACTCCGGTCAACGACAGGATCCATGACGGCGACGCTGAGTACCCTCACCAGCCAGCATGAGTCCACACTTGCATGCCAAACAGCCGCAGAGTGCTAACTCCAATCATCGGGGCCGAAGGTCGGAAATATGGTTGCGGCTGAAGAATGCAGGCTTCTAAGTTCTAGCAGATGGTCGAGGTCAAAGGTGCACCGCCGATCCCGGAATGAAGTCTTGAAACGAGACACCACTTACCACAGCGGCCTCATTCCGCCGGCGCTACACATATGCTAACTTCCTCTGGTATCAGGTGTTTGTTGCCCTCCGAGTCGTTTCCATCGCTGCCCAGGAATACTTATAGTCTACTATCCGATCTGAGAAGCCTGGTGGCATACTCCTGCCATACCTCTGTGTCCTTCAAGTCCTTCAGTGCTTTCTTTGCTTGGCTTGAACGTTTGAACCCTCAGCTACTCTTGATTTATGGGCCTCTTCACCTTGGATGATCGGGACTCAGCGATAACATATTCTTCTGATGACTGGGAAGAAGCCGGAGTAGAGGAGGAGTTCAATTCCACCTCGACAAGGACGAGCATCAGGGGACCAACCGCTAATATCTCTTTCACAGGTTCATCTTTCTGTGTTGTCCCCCTTTTTTTTAATATTTAAACCCCATTTCAAATAGGGAGAGGAATCAGTGTCTGGGGTACCTTGGGCCATGCGGGTCTCGGACATACACCTCTGTCCACCTACATCCTCGACAGCAGCCCTCCGAAGAAATATAGAGGCGCGTTACACGGCAGCCTGCAATTTCGGCAAAAGTTCTTCGAAGTCTCTGGGCTTGCACCTGGTCCCCACAGTCTTTCGGTCACCAACGACGTCGAGAATGCGTATTTGTACCTGGACTTCGTGCTGATCACCCCAATTGACTCGCTTACTCCGCCTATGCTAAACCATGTTCGGCCTACTCCACCCCATCGGAACTGGGATTGGAAGACCCCGCTCAGTGCTATGATGGGAGGTTTCGTGGGAGGTCTGGTCGTCGCTGGATGTTTAGTGATGATTTTCTTGGTTGGGCTGCACGAGACGCGGAGGGTTCCGAGTCCCAGGAGAACTCATACGTTTCCTCTCATTAAATTCCTCTCAATTCCCGAAGTCATCGTCGTTCTCCTACAGGTTGTGAGGGGATTGTAGACATTGCACGCCCACGAGCCATATCCATTGGCCATGGCCTCGCTGTTTATCGTGCAGACTCAGAGGGCAATTATGTCGCCCTTACTCAGTCCGAACCACCCTCCCCAATTGGCTACCTTGACGAAGAGTGCGGATTCGAGCTGCCTCCTCTGGGAGAAGAACTTCCTCAGTATGTTAGATGACTGCCATGACCTATCCTCACTTTGCTATCATTCGTTACGTTACGACCACCAAACGACCATTGGACTTTTGGACTTCATGAAATAGATATCCACTACACTCTACTTAGTACGTCCGTTTATAAATAGTGCCCCTTTATGGGGACCCCTTCTCCTCGAGCTTCAGGCTTCATGCATCATGATCAACGGCTGCTATATGATTGGAATGTTGGGCTGTGCGCCAAATGCCGTATATTATGTCTGAATAAACACTATGCAGAAGGTATAATGCTACTAGCACAAGATGACTGTGGATTGCCTCTGCTTTTGAGCGTTGATATCTCTTGATGGTTGGTACAGTTATATCATAATAATCTACAGGAACATCTACGTACAACGACTCGGGAAAACAAGACAGCAAAAATCAAGTCAAGGAGCAAACATGGCAGTTTTCGGATGTATCTCGATGGCCTTGCAGGCAAAGGATATAGCAGTAACCTACCTCAAACGTCCGTTCACTCTTCCACAGCCTACGTGAACTCAATCGGCTGCAACCCAGAGCCCTCCGCCTCTCTCAGCAACTTTTCACATGTCTGGGCTTCGGGCAAAGCAGCAAGCACTGTCTCATCTGGGAACTCCATGATTGTGTCCACCCATGCAACTGCCCAAGCACCGTTTCCGACCTTCGTGCCTCCAATGACGCATTTCAATGCTGTGTCGGGTAGCACGTCCCATCGTGCACAGGTTGGCTGGGTGTCGGCCCGATCTGGAACGAAAACTAGTTATTCCAAAGTTCGACAAAGATGAATAGACCTACATTGGATGACATTGGAGTGGGGCTCGTACACACCGACCACAGGCGTTGTGTCAATCCATACTTTTCGTTTCTTCGTCTCCATCTTGCCGCCAGTTGTCTGCTGACTCCCGTTCGGAGGCAACACCGCACCACCCATCACCAGCCCATCCACACCCTCGACGATCTTCACAGCCTCCTTCCGCAACTTCATCCACTCGTCCAACGCTGCCGCCACCCGGTTCGCCATCATCCACATCCAGTTGTCCTCGTCCACCCCATCCCGGCTCAGAACGCTCTTCCGCACCGCGTTCAAAGGCCCATCGCTGTACGGCCCCCAGCCACTGCCCGCGAAGATCGTCGTTGGGCCACCCGCACGGTAGATCCCTCCGCCTCCGCCACCACCTCGGTCGCCCTTGGCTGTACCCGCCGCAGAGGCGGCATTGAGCGCAGACAGCTCGTTGTTGTGGTGTGTCGCATTGGGGTCGGGCAGGTCGCCAACAGGATCTCCGGCTTTGAGACCGCGGGCTGTGATCTCCTCGAGCACCTTGCCTTCGTAGTAGTCATCCGTTACCCATCTTCCCTCTGTAAAAATTAGCCCATGGTATGCTTCATGATGAGAAAAAACATACCAAAGATCATCTTGCTCCCGTGCAGTTTGAAGGCACTGCGTGCGGTGACGAGGGTGACGCTCCTCGTGCGCAGGTGCGAGCCCAGCTTGCCCTCGTTGATCAGGTACTCTTTCTCCTGCTGTGTCGCATTGAGTTTGAGCGCCAGCAGATTCTTGCGGAAGTAGTACAGCGAGTCCCGGAACCCCGATGTTCGTGCCGCATCGATGGCCAGCATGTACTGCCGCTGGGGATGTCGGTTCGGGAGGATGAACGTAGCAGACTTGAAGCGCCGTCCTGCATAAAGTTTTGAGACAGTTGAATGAAACTGAAAGACGAAACGTACCTCCCAGCAAGTTCACCCACCTGTCAATCTTCTCATCTCCCTTCGGGTCATCCTCCGTCACGTACTCGTCGCCGTCGATGACATATGCCTGACCTAGGATCTTCACCCTCCATCGGTGTCACCTCCCCACATTCAACATCCTCGCGGCCGCCTTCCTCCCCGTCAAAGTCAGTGTCGTCGTCGTTCCTCCTCGGTAATCTGATCATGAAAGACCCGTGACCACGTGGTCTGCCACGTCCCCTGCCTCTGCCACGCACCCGTGGAGTGCTTGCGCCACTCGATGTTCCTCTGCCTCGTCCGGATCCCCTGGGTCTTCCTCGCGGTCGGGGTGTAGGAATGGCGACGACATCTGCGTCTCCGTCTTCTTCGTCTACATCGTGCGTAGGTTCTTCATTCGATCCCTGGCCCTCTTCATCCACATCCATGGCCTGGCTGTCTTCATTCTCAGCATCTCCTTCGTTGTCTTCTCCCGAACCGTGTTCTGCTGGAGGACTTTCTGTGCTTGCCGGCGGCGCTGGGATTGGGGCCGAGCTGCGCGGTTTTATCACAATTTTGGGTACAACACTCATCATGGTCTATAAACCGTGAAGAAATCTCATCAGGATGGCTTCAAGCATACTAGTAAGTAAAATAAAAACGAACAGCGTGTCTGGTCTCGCTTCCTTTGAGTGTCTTCCCGTGCGTGGGCCTGGTAGGGTGAGTATTTACCGAGGTGTCATTGAAGCTGTAAAGCGACAGGTAAGAAGAAAATTACTTAAATTGTTGTTTGTTGACTGTGTTGAACTATTATTACATAATCATTGAAATCAAGCAAGCTCCGGCATCTCGGCACCCGCCAACGATCGGTAAATCCGTTGGCATAAGTCTTTCATCTTTTCATCTAGGCTCACATAAGCACCCTCTCACAACGTGAGACTATCTTTTCATCTTCTTAGCTTCACCATTCGCGATTTCTTTCTGAGAAGGCCAACAGTAAAATTCACCCAAGACGTGTCGATTACTGCTTAACGTCGTGATGGCGAGGTTTTGACACAGCAGGGCAAAAGGGGACTCGATATCGCCGTATTCCCGTGTCGTAAACACCTGGAGGCTCGGAAAATGGCAACCACGCCCTGAACACCCCCATATCGTTCAAACCTCCACAACACGGCTTTCTTCAATGTGAAGATCGCCATCACGATCCATATCCTCTATGGACCATCCTTCACTCCTCAATCCCGAAATCGAGCTCAGGATGGCCGACTGTAGACTTCCTGTATGGGTTGAGGTGGAACGTGATTCGGCCTATCTGGATACCATTGAAGTTTGGCCGGGAAGAGTGAACGTCATGCTGAGGGCGGATGTTGACTGCCTCGCAGAACATCTCGATGTACGACTACTACCGTTCGCCATCTTTATGCTGATCTAGATGGCATCGTAGCAGAGTCCTCCTAGGGAAGAAGCTGAACCGTTGCGTATCATGTGAGTGCATCACCTTCAGCACGCCGTGCTGAAGCCAGAATCTACTCAGACTGATCTTTATGTCAGTTTCGTGGAAGATGAGGTGTATGGGGACTCGAGCTACCTTATCAAGGGCGCTTCAAGAGGTTTGAACAAGACCGCATGTTGGCTGCACCAACATTTTGGCGTCTCCCTAGCTTTCTTCCAACATTCAACCCCAAATTCCGGTTATCGTGTCACAGGCAACGGCAGCTTCACAAGACACAATGCTGCAGGGGAAGCCATCTCGATAGGTAGGCTCATAATTATCGCTCTGCCAGCTCGATTCCTATGAAGCGCCCATCTAGATGGCTTCTACTCGAACTCTGGTGGTCTATCACTTTTTCCTACTCATATTTGGTTCTCTCACAGCGTTCTGGAATGGAATGCATCGTCCTACATCATCTACAACTCATCCCCAATGGCCAAGCAGCTTATATTTCGGTGTGCTGAGACTCAAGGATGCGCATTACTTCGGCCGTTCGCCATCGACGCCTTTATGCAGGAAGACTATCTAGAAAAGTGGACAGCAAGGCTTTCAGAACTGCGACCTCAGCTAGTCTACTACGTATGAGTGGTGAACTATTGTATTGTCCACGCTATCTCTTACTATTACCAGGAAAATGAACTCACATTTTCGAAGTTCACCCCAGACCAGAACTCAAGATCTGTGGAGGAGCTGCATAATCTATCTCAACACCTCCATGTTGCCAGAGACAACTTCATCGACCTCAAGAAGAAGCTCCATTTCTTCCTCGACATGCGCGAGCGATATCTTGAACTCTCCCGGCCGCACTTCACCATTCCAAGGCAGGACCTCACCTCGGTTGCCGACTCTTGGACCCTGATCGGCTCACGGATCATGGCCTACGGTGGGCGGCTAATTATACGGAACGCACGAGTATTAGGATCAATCTGTGCTTTAACCTGGCAACACAGGCAGATAGTCGAACGAACTTGGATATTGCATGGTCGATGGGCTGGATTTCTTTCTCTGCTCAACGAGATAGCTCGTCAATGATAATGTGGGCTCTCTTCCTCTGCGTTCCATATCCTTCATTCGCTTAACTTACCTGCTGGTTAGAATTGCGGCGGTTACGATGTTCTTCCTCCCTGGGTCATTTGTCTCGGTATGTTGTCGGCCTGTTTGGTCAGAAATGTCCAATTAACATGTCGTTGTGTGTTAGGCATTGTTCAGCATGGTGTTCTTCAATTCAGAAAGCAAAGAGGATGGACAAATGAGGCTGATCGTCGCACCTCAGTGGTGGTTATTCCCAGCCATCGCGATCCTGCTCACCATCTTGGTCTTTATAGCATGGGTTGTGTGGAGGAAACGTCGGAACTCGGTGGCAGCATTTGAAAATATTCCCAAGAGTTGGGATGTCTGAGTCTGGTTTGTTTTGGGCTTTTTATGTTTCAAGGGATAAATGTATTCGTTCGTAAGTCTCCAGGCGACTGTTGTTCGGGCTCGGCTCAGAAAACTATGACGTACCTGGAGGTCACCCAATCTCATGATTTTTCGCTCTACAAATCGGAATTCAAACTACTTACTTTGATTCATGAAGGAGATGAGTCAATTGTTCTGGATCGCAATATCTTCATGATTCCAGCCCGCTGTTCTGACCCCTGTCAAGATATCTCCAACTCTCAACATCTGTCAGCCATCCATCCATAGTCATCAGACTGATGGATGGTGGCTTGTAAACTCATGCCCCACCTTCAATGTTTCCTGTGTCAGACTCAGTCATTGGGTTTCTTGGGACCATGAGAGGAATCCTTGGACAACAACACCCCAATGGTGCCGCAGACATTGGCCCTTCATAATTTCCAGATACTTTCACTAACTTGCGTCTCAGCAACACCCCCAGCTCCTGAAAGATCAAGCGCGCATAATGTTCGTATTTGCAACATGTGCAAGCTTGGCCTCTCTCGTGTAGGCTAAATATCAGTGACTTTGCCGCATACTTGCCTGAACCCCGAGTAACCGTAGGGAAACTAGGAGTGACATGGTGAGTCCCTTTGTCAACCTTTCGTGAAGCCTGTGCTTGCTCTGGCAAAATAGACTGCTGCGCTAATTTCTGAATCAATTTAAACGGTCTGCCTTGTTCAGAGATGTCACAATTCACAAGCACTCAAGATATTCAGGATAGCTCTACTTCAGCATGCGGAGCTGAGGGTCCTACCATACTCATGTCAAAATTTGACGACAACTACCATCAAACCAAACCCTTTCCCAAAACTATCTGCAATGGTTCAATTGACCACGGCCCTCCTCGTTGCAGCTGCTATTGCCCCCACCTTCTCTGCTCCGACCCCATTCGGCGTCGAACAGGAACTCGCGTGAGTTCTATACTTTACCATCTAGAATCGAATACTTGAGTTGTAAATTTTTTCTCTTTAGCCTTGACACATGCGACCCGAAATCCAGTTTTGGTAAACTTATCAAAGGTGCGGGCAAGGTTATGGGGAACTTTATTCGCAAGGAGCTCGAGACCCGTGAACCAACCCTGAGGCTGCAATCAAGTCCCTCTGTGGATCACTTGTCAAGCCTCTCGATTTTAGTTATTTCGGTAAAGGCACACACCGTGGGGTACCTAGCCCAAACAAATTGGCAAGCACAGGAAAGGTCGCCTGGTCAAACTCTTAGATCTTATTCTCGGAGCCCATGCACAAATGTGCAGCAATTCAGTTCTAATAATAGTGCATCTTAAAGGCTTGCATATCCTCGATAGCCAGCGGAACTTGCCCAATTACGACTCGTTGGGTGTTCTTTGCCACTTGAGCAGCAATTTTGTGCCTTACTTAGACATTGAGTCTGCCTATAGAGTCGTCTCCAGGCAATTTCAGGAGGGATTGACTACACTGAGCTTGATGAGCCTTATTTTTAAGAGAAAATACTCAATAAAGACACTAGTTGCAGGGGAGGAGGGGAGGATGCGACTGCGACGCGCTTCATGGGTAGATACTTGCCTAAGAGTACTAAGAGTAGGATCAAACATTTTCCTTCGAATCTGCACAAACTGACATGCTATTCAAAAATATGGGCCTAGTGATATAGTAGGCACAGACCTGACAAAGTTTGCAAGACTGGTGTATCAACACTCGTTGTTATTAAACTGAATTCCCAATCCCAGCAGTTCCATGCTTCTGACTTGTCGCACTTTTGCAGGTTCATCACACGATCCTTCAACTGAGTCAGATCTACAGAGGACCATCCTTGAGTCCTTGGGGCTCTCTAGAGCATGGATCTCAGCTCTGGAATGCCATGGCCAGTATTCTGGAGAAAGCTCTTTGTTTTACAAAGGCTCAGACAACATCCGTCATTCCGATATTTCGAGGGCTTTAGATTTATAGCAGCCATTGTGATCGACGTTTTCTCCATCAGAAGGTACTCTGCACTAGAATACTTGCAGCCAGCCTCTTGCGTTGTCGCAGGTTTTGCTTGGCAGTGGAGCCTTTAGGTCCAGTCGTCGACCGTCCTGTGGCCTCAGTGCTTAAGCATGCCTCTGCATCGCCTCGTATCACATGGCGATATTGTTCTATGGGAAAATGAACTCTATGGATACGCAAAGCAGTTGTTCCGTTCTCCTGTCTTGTGACCTTGTCAGTGTTGTGCGGATTTCTTTTTTATAATGGCTTCTTTCCATCTTCGGTGTTTGGCTAGCTCTACATATAACTGCCAAATGAACAGATCTTCTTCAATAGATGTCAAACGGTCGGTCCCTGGAATCTGGACGCAGTAGCGACTAAAGAGGGATCTTCGGGGCAACCCAAATCAAATTCAAAGCTATTGTGACATCAGGTGTGCTGTTGTTTAAATTGCGGTCAAGCTCAAGGCCAAGCATGCTACGACCTTCTTTGGCTTATAATTGTTGTCCAGTGAATTTTTTTTCGCAGCACATAAGCCCTAAGGATGTCGTTTCTAAAGTGCCGCATTGTGTGGTAGAACGGTGCACAGCGGATTTTGAGGATCATACCGAAGCAGAAGCAAAAGAATGAGCCAATTCATTTCGTTTGAATAGCGACGAGGCTTTCGACCGCTTGATGATCTTTGGGATATCATAAGACTTGTATTATGTGGATAATTGAGGTTCTCAAGGTAGAATTCCGGAATGATTGACGATGTCTTGCTGTCTTCTGGGTGGCTTCCACTGTAGAGACTAGGGCAAGGCAAAAGCATGGAATAGCGTAGGAGAAGTATATGGGCTTCGCGCTGGTAGCCTCAAGAACATCTGCCTAAGTTAGTGCGTTGATGAGCCGGACCGCTCCCTGACCCTGGTAAATCCCTTTTTTTTGACCTTTGTCATTGCATTCCCGCCATTCCCTTGATCCCTGACACCTTTCCCGTCGTGCCATATGATTCCTCAATGCACCCGGAGATCCTCAGTCAGCAAAAGCACCCGTCCTGTGATCGGCACCGCCTCTTTCCCTCTCTTTCCCATTTCACCGAGACGCTCGGCACGCCACCCTTTCCTTGTTAGGTAGCCTTTTCCCCCATCAACGCAGTTGCCACCTCGCCGCCTCTCCCCTATTCCATTCCTGTTTCATTCTTATCTGAAAATTTCTGTTTTTCTTTCTTCCTTCACCCATGGCTCGGATATCTTCCTTGCTGGGCTCTTCTTTCTTCATAGATATAATCCATGTCTACACACTCACACAATATAGAGAATTTAGTTCGTTTTTCCGTCTCTCACCTCCCTCGTTCCTCGCTCTCTCACTCGTATTCCGGAGGCGCCGTTGCCTCATTTGTCCTGTTCCCATGCTTAGCGCCTGCATTCGCCATCTGTCTTCGAGTCGCGTGCGCCCACTGGTTAGAGCCGCACAACCGAGAACCTGTCCTCGCACCTCAGAGCCACTCATTGCGGTGTTTTGGGTGTGTGTTAGTCATTCCTTATTCGCACGATCACCCCACCATAGGCACATCAGCGTCCTTGGTCAGCGGACCTCAAGTTACCGTTACAACAATTCCTGGAGCTTTACCAAGCACCTCCTTAATGTGGTTGACTCTGGAGTCTGGATCATTATGCACTCCAGGTTGTTCTTGAAAAAAGTGCAAATGTCAGTGTGCAATGCTCATGGTACATCTCACAGTTCAGGCAAGGTTGATAACACATACCCAGTTTCTCGAACACTATTTCCCCGCACCCGTTGCCGCAGATCCCGCATTCCAGACCCTGGCCCAAGAGAGTGGCGCACATCACATGAAATTACTTAAAATAGTTGTCATTCCATTAATGGAGATCGCCATCTTCCACAAAGTGGTTGGAAAGGCCGTTCTGGCAGCTCCCACACTTAAAATTGAAATTTGAACCATCACGTATAGAATATCTCATCATTCGACTTACTCCAACAACACTTATAGCAGGTAACCTCATGTGTAGGGATAGATGACTCAAAGTCTCCAAGTTCCACTAGAACATTTGTGCTTTCCTTCTCGCAAATCGACTCAGAGTGTTGTCAAGCGCCGGGCATTTTGCAGCAAACACGTCAGGTATATATATATTGAAGTCTACTTTGGGTCGTTGCTTCAATGCTGGGCAACAGCACCCTTGGCACGTTGGTCAAAAGAAGTTGAACATCGAAAGTCGAACGCCGCACTCATGGCTGTTGGGGCCGTGGAGGCTTTACCCCACTGGGTCTGCCCAGCGCGAAGCAAAGTTCACCGCCCAGAAACTCAAGGATCGCTGGGCGCCTTGGGCTCGCCGACAACGCTCCTACTGTATTTGTACTTGCTCTCGGGCTCCTTCCCAAGCACTTCCAATCCTCATCCTGGACGATAATTATCGGACAATTTTGACAGGTCTGTCCAGTATAAAATGCTGCTTCAAACAGAAGAGAGTTCGTCAACGATCTTCATCGTCGAATCAAATCCATGTTCCCAAAACTCGCTCTCATCTCTTTCGCCTTCACCTCCATAGTTGTTGGCCAGCTCGTCGGCACGTACGAGACGGAGATTCACCCACGAGTCACCTGGCAACGTTGCACCCGAGGTGGAAGCTGTCAGACCGTCCAGGGCAGTATCGTGCTCGATGCCAACTGGCGATGGGTCCACGGCAGGACCGGCTACACAAACTGCTACACCGGCAACAGCTGGGACACATCCCTCTGCCCCAACAACAGAGCGTGTGCTGAGAACTGCGCACTTGAAGGAGCAACTACGCCTAGCACCTATGGTATTACAACTAGTGGCAACTCCATCACTCTCAAGTTCATCCAGCCCAACAGTAACGGCAAAAATGTCGGCTCTCGTGTCTACCTCATGGCCAGCGACACTAGGTATCAGATGTTCAATCTCCTGAACCAGGAATTCACCTTCGATGTTGATGTTTCCAAGCTCCCTTGCGGCTTGAATGGTGCCACTTACTTTGCTGCTATGGACACAGATGGTGGGATGGCGAGGTTCTCCACCAACAGGGCTGGTGCGAGGTATGGCACGGGTTACTGCGATGCTCAGTGCGCAAGGGATATCAAGTTTATTAACAGAGAGGTAAGCGTTCTAATCGCCCTTCTGCAACTTATCATTTAATCGGGCATCTCTTCAGGGTAACACAGAGGGTTGGACACCTTCAGAGACTGACGTGAATGCTGGAACTGGCAAGCATGAAAGCTGCTGCCATGAGATGGATATTTGGGAGGCCAATTCAATCTCCACCGCTTACACACCACACTCCTGCGACCAGCACAACTCCTTCTGCTGCAGCAACTCTGCCTGTGGTGGCAGGGACAATCGTTACGGAAGCCAGTGCGACCCCAATGGTTGCGACTTCAACTCCTTCCGATTGGGCGACAAGACCTTCTATGGTCCTGGCATGACCATCGACACCAACACCAAGATCACGGTCATCACCCAGTTCCTCACCGACACCGGCACCGCCTCAGGCAACCTCAAGGAGATCCGTCACATTTACGTCCAGAACGGACACGTTATTCAAAACTCCAAGGTCAACATCCCCAGTATGGACGCCTACAACTTGATCACCGAGCCCTTCTGCACCGCCATGAAGGTTGCATTCAAAGACCGCGACAGCCACAGCGAGCATGGCGGCCTTGCGTCTATCTCACAAGGTATGAAGAATGGCATGGTCTTCGTGATGAGCATTTGGGACGACCACACTGCCCATATGCTCTGGCTCGACTCCAACTACCCCGTCGACGCTGACCCCAACAAACCTGGTATCGCCTGCGGGACTTGCCCTACCTCTTCAGGGGTTCCCAGCAAGGTCAAGGCGAGCATGACAGATGCCACAGTTACGTACTCGAATATCAAGTTCAGCGATATCAACTTGACTTATTAAGCATAGTTTGGACGTCATGATGATCATTAGCTGGCAGCAAATACTAAGTTCTCGTGGTCGTAGTTTGTGGTAGGATTATTGTACTTGTATGGAAGTGAACCGATAATATATTGAGTCGAATTGTTGAGTCGAATTCATCTCGGTGGGAGCAACCTTTTGGTGATTTGAGAAGTGTGCTCTTCGATTATTAGATGTACATATATTTAGTGTCTCGGAGTCTAGTTTGACGCATACTAGCGGAATCATCTGGCACTGGATCTTTGCGGGGAAACTGCAATACAGCTCTTTCCCCGTGATGTCGAGACACATGAATGGCTCAACCACCAGCCATGTCAGCTAAAAATCTATATCAAACCCTGTGTTTAGCCAGTGTGACCTCACATGTCCAGACTGTGTTTGAGCAGTCAGGTTTTCCGAGGCTGCTGGGGTGAGTTTGCCAGGGATGCCGGGGCTATAGGGATTTGTTTGGGGATGGGAGAGGGTAAATAAATGACCAAACAACCCTCCCGGGGGTGGGGCGGGGGTAGGGTAGGCCTGCAGGGGGCGGGAGGGGTGGGGAAAGCATGGGAAATCCATCCGAAACAGGCAGGGATGGTGGGGGATGCATGATAGGGGCTAGTGGGATGGCAGGGTGGGTTCTGGGTGCGGCAGGGGCCTAAAAATGGGTTGGGCAGGGTTAGATATGCATGCTAATAATTGTCATGGCCCCCACGGGGTGCGGGATGGGCTGGGGGAGCCAAAAATGCGAAAAATCCAGAGTCTTTTGCATTTTTAATACAAAACAATCGAATATAAAATTGAAAACTTAATATTTCGGTGTGAAACTTTGGGGACCTTTGTATCTATAGTGGGGGGTGCTTCATAAATATTTTGAGCATTTATTATGAATTATGAGGTGCGCCACACAGCCAGGAATAGTGTGCGCGGCGGGGTTTGATGCGCTTTGCCAAATTTGGCAATATTGTGATGCCTGCACATCCGAGCATAATTCTGGCTCGCCCTCGCATTATTTTGCTTAGCTTTGGCTGAGCAAAATGTTGGGTACATTGACACCTTCCTGTAGACCCTTTGATCGTGTGAAACAGGTGAGAACTCGTTGAGATACGGCAAATGCGATTTTGGCTACTACAATGCATGGTGCACCCATGTATCCTCAGGCGTGTTTAGGCCCATTTAAGTTGGTCAAAAATCATGGAATACATGTCTGAGAAGAATAGTACCATTGATAATGCAAGGGGGTGTCTGGGTGTAGTATATCTGAGGGGGGGTATAGGTACACCAGGAGACCCACTCCGGATACCCCACTAAACGTACCTCTGAAAGTCTGAAAGTTCGTACGTGAATAGTACATATTTATTCATGAATTTAACATATTTTATCATAATTTTATATTGCCTGGAAGCTGGGTTATTGACCGAGTTCCCACGAGCTAAGATATTCTATTGACATCCAGGATGGGAGATATTGGCCCATGTAAAATTATGATAAATGATGATAAATGTATAGAAACAGAACGAGGTACTTGCGAGGGAAGGAGATGATTCTGTGTAAAGTTATTAAGGGGAGAAGGAGGAGGTAACCCCCCACATCAGTATCTATCTATATACTTACCAAATCCACATATCGCACCCATTCAATGGTTGGAATCTCATCTGGTCTTTTGCAATCTCTTTAGAGTGCTAATAGCTCCTCATAAACGAAGTTTGGTAATTTTTGAACAAGTCTGAGGTACCCATTTTAATTATTTTCGTATTTTTTGCCCATTTTCAGCTCTTTCTCTAATACCATTTCCCCCAGGCATCGGAGCCTCATTCGTCACTACTGAAATATGCTAAGGGACATTCTCCTGACCCGAATGCACCATCAAATGAGTGCGATATGTGGATTTGGTAAGTATATAGATAGATACTGATGTGGGGGGTTACCTCCTCCTTCTCCCCTTAATAACTTTACACAGAATCATCTCCTTCCCTCGCAAGTACCTCGTTCTGTTTCTATACATTTATCGTCATTTATCATAATTTTACATGGGCCAATATCTCCCATCCTGGATGTCAATAGAATATCTTAGCTCGTGGGAACTCGGTCAATAACCCAGCTTCCAGGCAATATAAAATTATGATAAAATATGTTAAATTCATGAATAAATATGTACTATTCACGTACGAACTTTCAGACTTTCAGAGGTATGTTTAGTGGGGTATCCGGAGTGGGTCTCCTGGTGTACCTATACCCCCCCTCAGATATACTACACCCAGACACCCCCTTGCATTATCAATGGTACTATTCTTCTCAGACATGTATTCCATGATTTTTGACCAACTTAAATGGGCCTAAACACGCCTGAGGATGCATGGGTGCACCATGCATTGTAGTAGCCAAAATCGCATTTGCCGTATCTCAACGAGTTTCCACCCGTTTCACACGATGAGTATGTCTGCAGGAAGGTATCAATGTACTCAACATTTCTCTCAGCCAAATCTAAGCAAAATAATGCATGGAGAAGCCGGAATTCTGCATGGATGTGCAGCCATCAATAAATTGCCATGCATGAGGGGTAATCCTGTAATATAAGCTGCAATACTGAGCGCGTGGACATGCGAGAGGGCTCGTTCTAAAGCTCTATATATTATCTATTAAATCGTTGACCTGCCCCAAGGATTTGATGCCTGCAAATGGTAGAGAATTGAGTGCGCTTCTTTGCTACTTTTAGAAAATGTGCTCTATAAGGGAATAGCATAGTCAATACTGCATGCACAACCAATTTTAAGGGGTCAAATTAATGGTAATACACTACTCTAAATTATCACATAGGTTATTTGAGTCAGGGGGGCATGAGAGGGGGCACATTTGGTGCGCATTTTCGCATTTTTGGTGTATAAACCACTGTTTGCACCATATCTTTACCAAAAATAGGTCTATCCTGATGTTCTTGGCATCTACATAAAGCTAAAATTATGTATAATATTATCGCATAATTGTTTCGTCCATTAAGAGGTGTGGTGTAACGAAATAAGCCATGGATGAGGCCAGCAGAGCCTATTTTGATCCCTCTATGTCCGCATTGGGAATGAGCACAGCCACAGCCAGAAGGCGGATTCTCCGAGGCGAGGACATCAAGAATTGATGGACTACATCAGTGACATCATTCTCTGATGTCATGAGCTGTCAAATTAAAAATAGCTGTGGATCTAAAAAAAGCGCACTGCCAAGGTAATGTGGCACCCCATACGGGCCAATTCACCTCCTCCCCCATACCAGATTGTCCCAGAAAGGATGCAGACCAGTCCCTGGGTCTCATCAAACCCCTCCCAAGCCTTTTCCATCACTGAAACAGTCATCCCCAGCCCTCCCCAGCAGCAGGGGGTGGTCTGGGGTCCATGGGTGGGCAACTCCCCACCCTGATGCATCCAGCATTCTGGGGAGTTCCCCAGTTTTAAATGTTTCAGCTAGCAGATATTGGTGGGGCTGATAGTTCATGTTGCAGGGTTGATACTGGCTTTGTTGTCTCCAGAAATTTCCTTGTCCTCGGTTGAGAGGAGGTCGGCTAGGGCATTCCCTGGACAGATGTCCTGGTTGACAGCAATGGAAGCAAAGTCCTCAGTGCATGAGGTCGTTGCGTTCTTCAATCGTCATGGCGTCGATATCCATGGCATAAGGGTCTCATTCAGCCTTCTGGAAGTTATAGGTTTTGGCGGGGTTTGAGGGTTTGGAGGAGCTGGGGTTTGGGCCACTTCCACATCGAAAATCGAAGATCTGGGCAAGTCGTCAATTGTTGACATCTACTTCCACTGCTTGTTTGTACCAATCGTTGATGTTCTTTGGAATATTTCTGGAATTGATGATCAGGCCAAGGACCTTGTCCGACAGGGAATCTCTGTAAAGGTCACCTATGGCAATGGGGTCTGTGAGAGTGGACCGTTCGACAAGTGTCTTGAACTCGGCATTGTGGTCTTCGGTGTGTTTCTTGTCCATATGTAACTTCTTCAGCTGTTGGAGGGCTTCTCTGGGGGCGTCTTGGGTGATAAAAGCTTCTTCAAGAAGCTGCATGAAAACGGCATAGGTGTCGAAATAAAGTCGGCCTGCGCGAGTGCGGGCTTTGATGTATTGGCTCGACCAGACGTGGGCTTCTCCTTTGGTCATGAGACCAAGGATATAACTGATCATCTTCTTGTCGGTATCATAGACTCCTTCATTGATCTCAAGATAAAGTTTGCACTTGTTGATGAAGTGATCAAACTTCTCTCGGTTTCCATCGAACTCGGGAGGGACATTGATCCGAAGTTCTTTGGGTTCTTGGGGTCGTTCGGTGTGGGTGGCGCCAATCGCGGGTGGTTCGTATCCGGGAGGTCTGCTCCTGGAAGGTTTCGAGGAGGGGTTTGCAAAGTCATTCAGCATTCTTCCTTTGCCACAGTCAGGTTTCGGGGTATTTGCTGGGGTAGTTCTCTCAGATCTGAGATGGTATTCGATTCCAAGAATGCGTGGGTCTCTGAGTGGGTTCTGGGGAATCTGGAAGCTAGAGATTGGTGGTGGTGTGAAGCGTTGTTCAAGATTGTCTGCAGGGTTATTGAACATCCACTCGATGGGTTTTGGGGGTACTTGGGGTTTCGGTGATCGGATTCCTTCGGGTTTGTTTGTTGGGTAGGGGAAGTATCGGTTTGAAGCTCTAGATGGGCTTCGTTCGTCGTTTGGTGATTGGTCCATGGTTTGTTCGGGTTTGTCCAAAAGGGTTCTCTCACGGATCCTTCACAGAGCGGTGGAGAATAATCCTTTGGTAGGGGTCTACTGCGGTCTTTCGTTCGACGGCAGAGGTTCGTTCCCCTAATCGTTCGTTCGTCGTTCGTTCGAGGGGTTCTCAAAGAGGGAGAGTGAGACTACTGAATAGTAGAATCGTGTTGTAGTGAGCTAATCTTTTGTTAAGCCTTCGCTCGCCGTCCAACTCAGAAGAGCGGTAAGAAGAGAACAGGCTTTAGATAACTAAGATTAGCTACAGACAGAGTATGTAGCTAAGTGTTTATATAGTAATGTCCTCGAGGAAATGTGGAGGCATAAAAGGAGCATAGAGGAGGCGCAGTACTACGGCGCAGCAAGCACAGTCTGGAACGAGGTAGCAACAAGGAAAAGAAATAGGTGCAAACTAAGCACAATAAGATGAATCGTAACACCAAGTCATTCAGCATTCGAAGGTCAATGTCCCTGGTATGGCTGCCCATGACTCGATCACAACCCAGTTCTGCAACAAGGCCAAGGTAGTGTTTGGGGACCATGATAGCTTTGGCCAGCATGGAGGGATGGCTGGGATGTCGAGGGCGATGGCGGTGGGTATGGTTCTTGTGCTCAGCATCTGGGACAATCACACTGCAAACATGCTTTGGCTTGACTCCAACTATCCGACCAATGCCAACCTGAACAAGCCGGGTATCGCTCGTGGTACTTGCCTGACGACCTCTGGAGTTCCTGCAGAGGTCGAGGAGTTGGCTGCCAGCGTGACTGTCACACACTCCAACATCAAGTTCGGCGACATTGGGACGACTTACAGCGGAACGGTGTAGAAGGGATTGTGGTATCCGCTGGAGGTTGTAGGAGGTTTTCATATTGATGATGACTGTCATCCTCTATGTTCCTTCGCATTGGATTCGTTGCTTTTGAATCAATATTGCGTTTGTGATGTAACAGATACAAAGATTGTTTATGAAATGTGGATTTATTGTCTTGCCTTGTCTTTGCTTGTCACGCTCATCCTTGGCCCTCCACAAGCACTTTAGAGCATTGTCTTGGAGTCTTGGAATTGGCGCTTTCCATATAAGGGAACACTTGGTGCTAGTGAAGAGGCTGTCCTGTCTATTTTTATCTTCCCTCTCCTAGCGTTCCCTGCATCGTTGCATCATCATTTTGACCGCGGCCAACCCAACTTGCTATTTGGTTGCACAGTATCTGACGGATCTAGTGTATATGAAGACCAGGGGCAATTTCAGTAGGTTTTATTTAAAGATATCTTTGCTGGAGATCCCACCAGCCTGGCTGTGTTTATGTCTAAGAATAGCCTTACGAGTTGTAGGGCCATGTGAGCAAACAATTGCCTGAAAATGGGCTGTCTTGACCCGACAGGCAGATAAAATTCAAGATCAATACCATCTGAAAAGCCTCTTGTCGATCCTATGAATAAAGGAAACACCGTTGTCCTCCAACTTGAAGGATGTTGAACAGTGGACAAAGGGCGTGCGTTTGCTAAAACACCGCAATGGAAGGGAGGAATTTAACCTACATTTTTGAGCCCTGACGAGATTTATTTATGACTTCTCTCAATGTACTTGCACAGAGGGGTTTGGCACGTTTTCTATGCACCAAGGTGTCCCTTATGGTCATGTATGGAATGATCCTCGTAAATCAATAAAGAACCACATTCTCTATGCACCAAGGTGCCCAATGATTTGGTTAAGTGGATCTCATGAGATTTGTGATTCCACCCAGGACTTTATTGAAATTGCATACACATACACGTTAAATATATGTCCACAATCTCGTATGGAATCTCGCTGGTTCTTTGGATGGACATTTATAGGCCTTTTGCATTGGGATGAGTCACCTGGATGCAGAGTCTTGACGGAAATGAGATTCGACGAAAGATGTTTCCAAGGACCAACACACAGAGTTTCCGAGAACGTTCCATCCTATAGTCACGTTCCCCTGCTCTCCCTCGAGTTCTCTACTAGATGTCTGCATGAACATCAGACAATCATGAGTCCAAGAAGGTATAAGAGTGAGTGTATAATGTTCCAAATCTCCAACAACCGCATCGCTGTGTTGGTCTTTCACAATGTTCCCAAAATTTGCCCTTCTTTCTCTTTCCATTACTGCCATCACAGCACAGGCGCAGCTGGTCAGTACCTACCAGACGGAGACTCACCCCTCGCTCTCCTGGCAGAGGTGAACAAAGAACGGAGGCTGCCAGACTGTCTCCAGCAGCGTCATCCTCGATTCGAACTGGTGTTGGGTTCACACCAAGTCCGGTTACACCAACTGCTACATGGGCAATACTTGGGACAAGACCCTCTGCCCCAATAACCAGTCCTGTGCGACCAACTGTGCGCTTGAGGGTGCTGACTACTCTGCCACATACAGCATCACGACAAGCAGCAACACCCTTACTCTCAAGTTCATCCAGAACAACAGCAACGGCAAGAACATCGGCTCTCGTTTACCTTATGGCGAGCGAATCAAGGTATCAAATGTTCAAGGTCCTGAACCAGGAATTCACCTTCGACATCGATGTTTCGCAGCTCCCATGCGGCCTCAACGGCGTGCTCTACTTCTCTGCGATGGATGAGGATGGTGGGATGGCGAGGTTCTCCACCAACAAGGCGGGCACGAAGTATGGAACCGGCTACTGCAATTCACAGTGCCCTCAAGACATCAAATTCATAAATGGAGAGGTATTGATCTTGTACATGCCTTGTTCGTTCTCGTTCCTAACATATTGCCCATAGGCGAATGCGGACAGGTGGGAGCCATCATCGAACGACTCCAACGCAGGAAACGGTGGAAACGGCATTTGCTGTAATGAGATGGACGTATGGGAGGCCAATTCCATTTTGTCAGCGTACACTCCGCACCCGTGTGACGGTACCCAGTCGACTTGATGCAGCGGCACGTCTTGCGGCGGACAGAGCAACCACTACGGCAGCATCTGCGACCCCAATGGCTGCGACTTCAATTCGTTCCGTATGGGCGATAAATCTTTCTACGGCCCAGGGCTCAAGGTCAACACCAATTCCAAGTTTACGGTAGTCACCCAATTCATTACCGACACCGGAACAGCCTCTGGCACGCTCAAGGAGATTCGCCGCCTCTATGTCCAAAACGGGAGGATCATCCAGAACTCCAAGGTCAATGTTCCAGGAATGGCGGAGCAGGATTCCGTCACGACGCAGTTCTGCAACGAGGCCAAGGCAGCCTTCGGCGACCGCGACTCCTTCGGCCAGCATGGTGGGATGAGTGGAATGTCCAAGTCGATGGCAGTAGGCATGGTTCTTGTGCTCAGCATCTGGGACGATCACACTCCCAATATGCTTTGGCTTGACTCCAACTATCCGACCGATGCCAACCCGAACAAACTGGGTATTGCT